CATATGTTCCCCTTTATTTGGGGCAGGAGGGCTGTTTGAGGCCACACTGGCAGTGCTCAGGGGCAGGAGGGCTGTTTGAGGCCACGCTGGCAGTGCTCAGGGGCTATTCCTTTTTTTTTTTTTTTTAGTTTTATTGAATTACCATTAGATAGTTACAAGCTTTCATGTTTGGGTTACAATCACACAATAATCAAACACCCATTTCTCCACCAGTGTACATTCCCCACCACCAATATCCCCAGTATACCCCCCCCTTTCCCACCCTTCCCCTGCCTCCATGGTAGACAATATTCCCCATACTCTCTCTCCTTTTGGGCATTATTGTTTGCAGTGCAGAAACCGAGAAGTTATCATGTTTGGTCCATTATCTACTTTCAGCACACATCTCCCACCCCGACCAGTTCCTCCAGCCATCATTTTCTTAATGATCCCTTCTCTATTCCAGCTGCCTTCTCCCCTTTGCCCATGAGGCAGGTTTCCAGCTATGGAGCAATCTTCCTGGCCCTTGTATCTACTATCCTTAGGTGTCAGCCTCATGTTATGTTGTTTTATACTCCACAAATGAGTGCAGTCCTTCTATGTCTGTCCCTCTCTTTCTGACTCATTTCACTTAGCACGATACTCTTGGTACTCTTCATGTCTATCCATTTATAAGCAAATTTCATGACTTCATCTCTCCTAACAGCTGCATAGTATTCCATTGTGTAGATGTACCAAAGTTTCTTTAACCAGTCATCTGTTCTAGGGCACTTGGATTGTTTCCAGATTTTGGCTATTGTGAACAGTGCTGCAATGAACATATAGGTACACATGTCATTTCTACTGTGCTTTTTTGCATCCTTGGGATATATTCCCAGAAGTGGTATTGCAGGGTTATATGGAAGCTCAATTTCTAGTTTTTGAAGGACTGTCCATATTGTTTTCCAGAAAGGCTGGACTAGTGGGCATTCCCACCAACAGTGAAAGAGCATCTCAGGGGCTATTCCTGTCGCAGTGTTCAGTATTAACAGCAGGCAGTACTCAGGACCATATACAATGCCAAGGATCACACTGGGCTCAACAGCATGCAAGTCAAGTGCCTTGACTTCTGTATTATCTGTCTGAAGTTAATGAAAAAATATTTTGTATTGTTCTTTGTTGTTGTTGTTTTTGCTTTTTGGGTCACACCCAGCGATACTCATACTCAGGGGTTATTCCTGGCTCTGCACTCAGGAATTAATTCTGGTGGTGCTCAGGGGACCATATAGGATGCCGGGGATCGAACACACGTCGGTTGTGTGCAAGGCAAATGCCCTACCAGCTGTACTGTCACTCCGGTCCCACATTCTTCCTATTTGTACTTCAAACATTTATTCTATATATATTTCATATATCAATAAGCAACTATAGTATATGGCACTGTGTTTTATTCTTCTCAATTTTAGGACCACTCCTAGTTGTGGCTCAGGGCTTACTCCTGGCTCTGTGCTCAGGGTACTGGCTGGGTTCGGGGGATCATCTGGGGGTGCTGGGGATCTAATCAGGGTGGGCAATGTGCAAGGCAAGCACCCTATCCTCTGTACTATCTCTTTGACACATGATACTTTTTTTTTTTTGGCTTTTTAGGGTTATACCCAGCGATGCTCAGGGTTTACTCCTGGCTTTGCACTCAGGAATCACTCCTGGCAGTGCTGGGGGACCATATGGGATGCCGGGGATCAAACCCGGGTTGGCCACATGCAAGGCAAACACCCTACCCGCTCTACTATCGCTCCGGCCCCCATGGTACTTTTTTTTTTAAATGGAAGATTGGGAATATAGCTCAGAGATGTATGAGGCTCTGGGTTTGATCCCCAACACTGCCCAGATTCAGAAGTCTAACACATGGTACAGTTGTGGCGATGGCTTAGCTTTTCCCTTGGGCATGCATCCTCTCTAGCCTGTTCAACCCTGTGACAGTCCCAGGCTAATACCCATTCTTCCAGCTGTTCTCACCTTGTCACAGCTAGGATGTGCTGGGCTCATCTCCATGACCTCTCTATGAGCATGTGGGTTTCTCTAAAGTACACACACAGCACATACAAGTCCTTGAATGCAATAAACATCCTCCACTTTGAGAAAAAAAATTGGGACAGGAATAATAGTACAGTGAGTAGGGCACTTGCCTCTCACACAGCTGACGCAGGTGTGATCCCCATCATCCCAAAGGGTTCCCTGAGCACCACCAGAGGTGATTCCTGAGTGCAGAGCCAGGAGTAAGTCCTGAGCACTGCTGGGTGTGGCCCCAAAACAAAAACTAGACTTTTTTTTTGCTTCCCAAGTAGTGCTCAGGAGACTTAGGGTAACTCAAAGGATCCGTGGCCAACCAGGCTGACAGACCAGTGTTGTGCCCAAGGAGGTGGTACTACTTCCAGCCTGTGCAGGCCAGGGTCATCAGGGCCACCAGCGCGACCAGGGCCATCCTCAACCCCTTTTAATTTTTCCAAATCCCTTACTAACATAGTTGTGCGGTATTTCCAATTTTCCCAATGAGGTAAGTAGAAAACAGTGTTTATTCCCTTACTTTTCCTATCATTATTAGCAGTTAAACATTTTCTCATTCATTTTAAGGATTTTGGTTTTCCCTTTGGGTTACCAATCATATACTTTTGCTCATTTTTCTATGGTGCTATTTTTTATTTTAGAATTTTGTTTTATTAAGAAATTCTGCTCGAGCGGGCCCAGTAACGTCTCCATTGGAGACTTTGTTGTTACTGTGTCTGGCATATGGAATACTCTCGGTAGCTTGCCAGGCTCTCCGAGAGGGGCGGAGGAATCGAACTCGGGTCGGCCATGTTGGCCGCGTGTAAGGTGAATGCCCTACCCGCTGTGCTGGGGGCTGGAGTGATAGCACAGCCGGTAGGGCTTTGCCCTGCACGAGTCTGACCCTAGTTCAATTCCCAGCATCTCTTATGGTCCCCCGAGCACCACCAGGAGTCATTCCTGAGTGCATGAGCCAGGAGTAACCCCTGTGCATCACCAGGTGTGACCCAAAAGGAAAAAGAAATTCTGAATAATCTTTGTCATTCTGCTTGGCAATCTACATTGAATCTATTCATGACAGATATGTCCTTCCAGTTTCCAGTTTGTCTCTTCATTTTTTAATAACCAGAATCGTTATTTGCTTTTGAGTCATCCCCAATATTGCTTAGGGGCAAGTCCCTGCTCAGTGCTTGGGGGTTGCTCCTGGGGGGGGCCTGGGGAACTGGGCAGTGCTCGGGACACCCCTGGGCTTCCAACACGCAGAGACTGGGCTCCAGCGCACTGCACTAGCTACTCACCCCAGAATTGAATTCTTTTTCTTCTTTTTATTGAACCACAGTGAAATATGCATCATTTACGAAGTTGTTCATGATTGGGTTTCAGCATCTGTTCTTAGATAATTTAATTCTTAAAGGTGTTGATTTTGCATTATAAAAGATTTCAGACATAAAAACTGAAACTTATGACATGCCCTTAGATCTAGCAATCAGTATTCTGTCATTTTGGCTTTTTGTATTGGTCCATATAAGGTTTTCGGTTTGGGACCTCACCTCGAAGTTCTCAGGGATTATTCCTGACTCTGTTCCTAGGGATTACTGCTGCACGCCTTATAACACTTAAAAAATAAATAAATAAAAGCTTAACTACATTATCATAGCATAAAACTAATCCTTATTTTAAAATATAATAGCTGGTCATACTCAATTTTCATATTTGTCCCTAAGTATCTTTTCAACTTGTCAGTTTGCATCAGAATGCAAGCAAAGTTCATAGTTTGCATTTGTTTGAACGTCTCTTGAATCTCATTCTAGAAAGAGCTACACATGTTGCTTTGGGGGGCGGGGTGGGAGACTACACCAGGGGGTGACTGGTCAGGAATTCCTCTCCGCTCTGCACTCAGGAGTTACTCCTGGCCATGTTTGTGTCTGGGGACTATATGAGGTGCCAGGGATCAAACTTGGGTCAGCCATGTGCAAGGTAAATGCCCTACTCCTCTAGCCCCACACACCTTGCTGTTTTCCTCAAGAAACATGCCTTTTCTTTAAGAAATGTTTAATCTTTATTGTACAATTGAAACCCAAGCACAAAAATTTGTAAATCTACAACTGTACCTCATGGTGTTTCACTAACAAAAATTTTAAAAAATGTAAATGATGGAGAATGAGCATTGGTGGAGGGATGGGTACTGGATCATTGTATAACTGAAACCCAAGCACAGAAATTTGTAAGTCTACAACTGTACCTCATGGTGTTTCACTAATAAAAATAAAAAAAAAATTTAGGCACCACGTCTGACAATACCATTGATTATAGAATTTCACGCATACAACATCCCAACACCACACCCCACATCAGAGTGTCCTCTTCTCCCCACCATTGTCTCCGTGTTCCCCCCTCCCCACTCCAAACGCTCCCCAAAGAAATGGACATTTTGAAGAAATTGAGTCCATGCCTGGTGGGTTGTTGTCTTTTGGCATTGAGCTGCTTCCTTATCCCTGTTTACTTGGCACATAGAACACTGATTACCCTTTCTCCACGTTCCTCTTGACCATGTGCACGGACCGGGCATGTGTTTAGAGGCCAGGAAAAGACCAAGAACCTTCCCCAGCGCTTGGCTCCTCCCTGCCATCCCAGCCTGCACTGTGACCTCTGCCTGCCTCAGCAGAGCTCCAGGCTGAGGCCCTGGTATCTCTCCTCACCCCTCACTGTCCCTAAGGCCTGTATACTCCAGGCATGGCATTAGGCTAGTAGTAGTTCTGGACAACATGCAGATGTAGTAGTTGCCAATTTCTGTGGTAGTTGCCAGTTTCCAGCCAACTTCAAGGGAACCAGCATGATTTCAAAAAGCTTTAGCAACTTTCCTGAGCTCGGAAGCCAGCCTCACCTTCTGTCACCTTTTATCTCCGTGTCTATCCGCCGTGTTCCACTTGTCCCCTCTCGCGCGTACTGTAGGCTCCAGAGAGCAGATGCTTCCCACTGATTTTTATTTATCTCCCCAGGGCCTGTACCAGCTCGTCACAGATATCATCGTCATGATCCGAGTGTGTAAAATGTTCCGCCAAGGCTTAGGGGGGTTTCGGGAATACCAGATCATTGAGACTACACAGCGAAGTCAGCCTATTTTCTCTTTCTGGGATGTAAGTATCAAAGCCTGTGAAGGTCTTAGGAGCGTTTAATAAGTGGCCAGAGCAAAGTTCGGCAAGTAGGGAATTTGCCTCTCATGCTGCGGACCTGGGTTTGATCCCCAGCATTCCTTATGGTCCCCTGTGCCCACCAGTAGTAATTTCTGAGTGCAGAGCCAGGAGTAAGCCCAGAGCATCACCAGGTGTGCCCCAAAACAAAAACATAAAACGCGAGGTACAGCTTTGCTGATTCTCAAACCCGCCCCCAACTTTATTTCAGAAAAAGAAGGAAGGCCGGATCCACTTTGATACCATGGACTTCCTTGCAGAGGAGGTACAACTGCTGGGGGATTTTCTTCCTGCATCCACGCCAGGAGGAATCACTGGGCTGGGCGGCAGGACAGGTCAAGAAGAGCCAAGGAGGAGGTCCGGGGAAGGCATCCTGGCTTGCAGCAGAGGGAGAGCACAGGCCTGCCTCTTGTCTTCATCTGTGGAATGAGGGGACAGCTGGGCTATGCTCCGGGCTATGAGATGGTGTGGGCAGGCAGGTGCCTTGGAGTGGGTGTGACCACCATGTCCCCTGAGCCGGATAATGGAAGGCGGGCTCCCAGGAGCCTCCCCTGGGGAGATGTCGCTGTCCTGGGGATCACTCCCGCTCTTTGCCTCCAGGGCCACTTTCCGCCTAAAGCCATTCAGATCATGATGAAGAGGCCCTCGTGGAGGACACATCAAGAGGTCCAGTCCCTCTGCAGCATCCTGCAGAACCTGGACAGCTTCCGCAACTACTCGGAGAAGCTGCAGCTGTTGCTGGCCAAGATCATGCGATTTGAACGGTCAGTGGGCACAGCCGGGTGGGGATTGGGCAGGAGATAGAAGGGCTGGGTGGGGTGGAGCGGGGCGGGGCGGGGCGAGGCAGGAGGGGCGGGGCGGGGTGGGACGGGGCGGACACGGGCTTCCGAGGGCCACAAGGTTTCTCCCTGGCGCTTCTGGACAGGGAGTCCAGTGTGGAGGAGCTGCCTGGTGTGGAGAAGCTCTGGCAGGAAATCAGCCGAGCCGCTCCCATCCCTTTTCTGTGAGGAACCTGAGATGAAGTTCCGCCTCCTGCGCAGAGCCATAGCACAGCTGGTAGGGCGATTGCCTTGCACACGACCCCCATGGGTTTGATCGCCGGCATCCCATACGGTCCCCTGAGCACCGCTAGGAGTAATTCCTGAGTACAGAGCCAGGAGTAACCCCTGAGCATCGCCGGGTGTGACCCAAAAAGCCAATAAATAAACAAACTCCAAAAAACAAAAAGAAACGAAGGAAGAAAAGCGATCCAGGGACAGGGATGTTAGGACATTCGCCTCGCTCGTGGCTAATCCAGGCTAAATTGCTGGCCCCCCTTTTGGCCCCTTGAGCACCACCAGGAGTGATTTCTGAGTGCAGAGTCAGTAAAGAGCGCTGAGCACTTCCAGGTATGGCCCCAAATCAAAAAAGATAAAGTGATTCGTTTTAGGACAACTGGAGGCCACACCCAGCTCTGCTTGGGATAGCTCGCTGTCCAGCTTACTACTCAGGAATCACTCCCAGCAGTGCCCAGGGGATCTTGTGGGAAAGGGGACTGAACATGGGACTCCCGCATATGAAACATGTGTCTCAGCCTTTTGAGCTATTTCCCCATCCTCCCCCCCCCACACACACAATTTTATTATTTTAACTCAGCTGCTCTCCTGCTATAGTTTTCCTCTGCTGAAAATATGATTCCAGGTCCAGAATGTAGCTCAAAGGGCTGGAGCACAGGTTTGGATGTGGGAGGCTCAGGTTCAATCCCTGGTACCTCATGGTCCCCAAGCACTGCTGCTCCTTCCCCTAACTTATCCCCCTCACCCCTGCCTCAGTGCCAAACTTCCTACTGAAGACCAGTTCTGCTCTTTGTTTCTGTTGCCATTTGATTCGTGATGTATTGAATATGCCAAACACAGTAACAACAAGTCTCAGGATGGAGATGTTCCTGGGCCCGCTCGAGCAAATCAGCAAATCGATGAACAATGGCAGGACAGTGCTACAGTACCATTTGATTCGAAACTTCTTTCCATTCCGCATATGAGAGAGATCATTCTGAGTCTGTTCCTCTCCCTCTGGCAGATTTCACTCAATTTGATACTCTCCAGATCCATCCACGTTGCAGCAAATTGTATGACTTTATCTTTTCTTAAGGCTAAGTAGCATTTCATTGTGTATATGTAGCATAGTTTCTTTATCCGGCCATCTGTTCATGGACATTTGGGTTGTTTCCATATTTTGGTTATTATATACAGTGTTGCATTGAACATCCGTGTGCAGATGTCTTTTCTGATCTGTGCTTTTGGTCCTTTGGGACTATTAATAAGAGTGGAATTGCTGGGAGCTCAATTCCTACATTTTTGAGGAATGTCCACTTTTTCCCCCAAAAAGGCTGGATCAGTGGACATTCCCACCAGTGGTGAAAGAGAGTCCCTTTTCCCCCACATCCTTGCCAACTTTGGTTTTTGTTATTTTTGATGAGTGCCAGTCTCTGTAGTGTGAGGTGATATATCATTGTTGTTTTAATTTGCATTTCCCTGGTGATTGGTGATAAAGTAAAAAGTAAAAGTAAAGGCCCTCCCGTTGATCATCAATTTGCTCGAGCGGGCCCAGTAACATCTCCACTGGAGACTTTGTTGTTACGTGTTTGGCATATCGAGTACGTCACGGGGAGCTTGCCGGGCTCTGCTGTGCGGGTGAGATACTCTCGGTAGCTTGCCAGGCTCTCCGAGAGGGGCGGAGGAATCGAACTCGGGTGGGCCATGTTGGCTGCGTGCAAGGCAAACGCCCTACCGCTGTGCTAGAGCTCCAGTGGCGCAATTGGTTAGCGCGCGGTACTTATATGGCAGTACGTGATTGGTGATATAGAGAAATTTTTCAGATGCTTTTTGGCTATTTGTATTTCTTCTTTTTTGAAGAAGTTCCTGTTCATCTTTTCTTCCCAGTTTTGGTTAGGGTTGGATTTTTTTTTTTTTGAGTCTCCCAGTGCTTTATATATCTTGGAAAGTAACCCTTTGTTGGATAAGTGGTGTGAAAGTAATTTCTCTCAGTCTGTGGGTGTCTTTGTGTTCTAGTCCTTATTTGCTTTGAAGCTTTGGAGTTTAATGTATTTCTATTTGTCTGTCTTTGCTTCTACTTGCTGGTCAGTGATATTTCATCCTTAAAGATGCCTCTACCTTCAATATCATGGAGAGTTCTGCCTATATTTTCCTCTCTGTAACCTATGGATTCAAGTCTGATATGTAGGTCTTTAATCCATTTTGATTTGATATGTGTACATGGCATTAGAAAGGGATCTGAGCTCTCGCTCTCCTTTTTTTTTTTTTTGGCACCACTTGTTGCAGAGGCTTTCCTTACTCCACTTCCTAGTTTTTACTCCTTTATCAGAGATTAACTGACCATATACCTGAAGGTTTGTCTCTGGCTTTACAATTTTCATTCATTGATCTGAGGGGTCTGCCTTTATTCTAGCTTGATGCTGCTTTGATCACTACTGCTTTTTAGTATAGTTTGAAGTTGGGAAAGTGATACCTCCTGTCTTTTTTCCTCCCAGGATTGCTTTTTGTCAGGGGTTGTGTGTGTGTGTGTGTGTGTGTGTGTGTGTGTGTGTGTGTTTGGCTTCATGTAAATTTCAGGAGTGTTTGATCTATTTCTTTGAAAAATGTCATGGATAGCCTTATAGGGACTGCACTGAATTTGTAATACTCTGGGGAGTATTGCCATTTTGACAATGTTAATCTTCCTGACCCAAGAGCAGGGAATGTGTTTTCATTTTCTTGTGTCCTCTTTTATTTCTTGAAGTAGTGTTTTGTAACTTTCTTTGTATAGGTCTTCCACCTCTTAAGTTAAGCCAATTCCTAGGTACTTGATTTGCTGAAGTTTCTTCTTTCTTAAAGGAGCATTCCATGGGGATAGGGCATCAGGTGCAGAATAAAGTCACGTAGGAAAAGAATTGTGGAGACAGTATGCTCTGGATTGAAGCCTCAAATTCACCTGGAGAGACCTCAGGCAAGCAACTTCCTTCTCAGAGCCTCAGTCTCCCCATCAGGGAAATGACAATAAATAACGCATTTGACAGGGTTTAGCAAAGACCCCGCCATATGGTTAAAGACTGCTGGTTTGTTGATTATTTCTGGACCAGGAAGGAGCAGAGGACATCAGGGAATGCATCAAGGGTTTGTTTATAGGAACGTCCTGGAGCGTTTCTCCAGGTTAGCTCTGCTCAGCGTCACCAGGACCCAGCGTTGTTCTGTCCGCCTGCCTGCCTGTCACTTGCCTTTTCCTTCACATCCATCTCCTCAGCCAGACTTTTCTCTCACAGGACCAGGGGGTCTGCCATAGCTTGGAATATTGGTCTTTCCTTTCTCACCCCTCAGGTCAGAGCCTTGGGGCTTCTCCTTTCTGACTTCTCATAACTCATCAATGGACCATTGATGTATCAGTTATCTGAGTCAAGAAAGGGGTTCTTTGGGGCTGGAGAGATAGTAGAGCAGGTAAGACACTTGCCTTGCTTGTAGCTGGTCCAGGTCCAGACGCCAGCATCGCATAGGCCCCCACCAGGAGTGATCCCTGAGCGCAGAACCAGGAATAAGCCCTGAGCACTGCTGGTATAGTCCAAAAACCCAAAATCAAAACCAAAAAAATCCCCACGGGCATGAGTGATTGTTCAACAGGCCTAATGCACCCCCTCGTACGGTAGAGGTACAGGGTTTTTCCCTGGCACCATGTGGTCTTCCGGTCACTGCCAGGAAGTACCCCCAAGTCCCAGGCACAGAGTGGGAGGAGCCCCCAGACACTTCCCAGTGTAGCCCAAAACCAAACAGAAATTTCAAGTTTGCTCTGCATCTGAGCATCTCTTCCCTACGTGTTCTGTCAGCTCAGCGCACCTCTGGGAGATCGTAATAAGATGAATCATCTGTTTTCCCAAGCTCACTCAGGCACATGTTATCGACTGAGGCTCTGAGAGGGGGTCCGCACTGCCCTGCAATGCAGCTGGGGGGAGAATGAGGATCTGAATGAGAACTCTAAAGCCAGAGCTAAAAAAAAAAAAAGTTAGCAGCATTTGTTATGCTCCTCTGCAGGCTGACCAGGCATGGTGCTCGGGAAGCTTCCGTCTAATGAAAGCAGGGGACTGAGAATTAGTCACGGGGTCGTCGGATGTGATGGGGCTGGCAGTCCCCTGGTTCTGGCTGGCCCTCAGCAGTGCTTCCGTGCTCCGGACCCAAGAGCTCACGTCTGCAGATCCCCGTCTGGACCCCATTGCTCCTGGGTCACCAGCTCTGGTCTTATTCCAGGTTTGGCCGCAGGCGTGTGATCATCAGGAAGGGGCAGAAGACCAACTGCTTTTACTTCATCTACCTGGGCACAGTGGCAGTGACTGAGGACGAGGATGGCAGCAGCGCCTTCCTGGACCCCCACCCGAAACTGCTGTACAAGGGCGACTGTTTTGGAGTGAGAGTGGGATGGGGCTTCCTGGGACAGGGCTGGGGTGAGCTGGATGGATACCCTCAGGCCCAGTCCTGCCTTGTTCTCTGTGCAGGGCCCTTCCCTGTGGGGAGGGGAGGGGTAGGCCCTGGGGATGGCTGCAGCAAGCTCTTTACATGTGGTGCTTAAGGGGGAGGGTCCCTGGCCCCAGCTTCTCAGACTGTGAGTCACATTTCCCCAGATGCAATCACTAGACTTAAAAAATTTTAAGTTGCTTTGGGGCTGGAGCTACAGGACAGTGGGGTAGGGCTTTTGCCTTGTACATGGTTGACCCGGGTTTGATTCCCCGCATCCCATATGGTTCCCTGAGCACCGCCAGGAGTAATTTCTGAGTGCAAAGCCAGGAGTAACCCCTGTACATTGCCAGGTGTGACCCCCAAAAAACAATAAATAAATAAATTTTAAGTTGCTTTGCTTTATTCTCAGTGTTTGATTTGTAGACTTTTTTTTTTTTTTATATAACCCTCGAGGTAAGGTAAAGGCCCTCCCGTTGATCGTCGATTTGCTCGAGCGGGCCCAGTAACGTCTCCATTGGAGACTTTGTTGTTACTGTGTCTGGCATATCGAATACTCTCGGTAGCTTGCTGGGCTCTCCGAGAGGGGCAGAGGAATCGAACTCGGGTCGGCCATGTTGGCCGCGTGTAAGGCGAACGCCCTACCCGCTGTGCTATCGCTCCAGCCCCCTCGGGGCCACCGAGAGTATCTCGCCCACACGGCAGAGCCTGGCAAACTACCTGTGATGTATTCGATATGCCAAACACAGTAACAACAAAGTCTCCAATGGAGATGTTACTGGGCCCCCTCGAGCAAATCGATGAACAATGGGAGGACAGTGATGACAGATGGGGCTGTGTAAAAATTTTCTTAGGCAGAGGCCAGAGCGATAGCAGAGTGGGGAGAGTGTTTGCCTTGCACGAGGCTGACCCGGGTTTAATCCCCAGCATCCTATATGGTTCCCTGAGCACCACCAGGAGTAATTCCTGAGTGCCAGCCAGGGGTAAGCCCTGAGCATCGCTGGGTGTGACTCAGAAAGCCAAAAAAAGAATTTTCTCCCTCTCAGGCAGAGAAGGGCATTGAGGGAGGTTTAGAGCAGCCCTGCCCGGCCAGGTGCAGTGGCTCCTTCCGCTCCCTCACCTCCGCCTTGAGCAAGTCTTGCCTTTTTTCCTAGAAGAAGCAGATCAGGAGGGAAGGGGGTGGCCCTACAGAGGAGAAAAGGAGTGAAGCCCCCCTTGTACCTGCAGTCTGGGAGAGGTAGAAGGGACTGCGGTGGCCTCTCATTGCCTTGGACCCTGTCCCCCCACAGGAAGTAGGCTTACTCAACACGTCCTTAAAGAAGGCCACTGTGGTCTGCATGGAGGAGACGGAGTTCCTGGTGGTTGACAGAGAGGACTTCTTTGCGAACGAACTGGATAAGGAAGTGCAGAAGGATGCTCAGAATCGGTTTGATTTTTTTAGGTAATTTCCTGTCAGTCAGCATCTCCTATATGTGTGTATGCGCGTGCGCGTGCGCGTGCGTGTGTGTGTGTGTGTGTGTGTCTGTGCATAAGTGCACACGCGCATGTGCACGCACGAGTTTGTATGGGATATGAGGGGTGGGGTTTGTGTGGGGGTGGAGCTTGGAGGTGTGGAGTTTGCTATATATGTGTGGGGTGTGATGTGTGTGTGTATGGTGCTGTATGATGTGTGTATGGCATGGTGTGTGTGTGGGGTTTAGGGTGTGGTATGTGTGTCTGTGGTGTGTGTGGGTGTGTGTGTGTATGGTTGTGCTGGGCCCTCTGTCCGATGCCATAGCTAAGCTCACAGCCAACCCTCTGATGTCCTTTCCTTTCTCACACTCTCCCCTATTTCTCTGGGGGAGCAGGCCCAGAGCAGTGGCGTGCCAGGGCCTGCACTGTCCCATCCTTCACCTACCTGGGCTACAGAATATAGACCCCCCAACACACACACCCTGCCAACCTGGTAGTAGCTTTCCTGTTCCTTGTTCCACTGACAGATAGAACACATGTCAGGGGAGTAGCCGAGGGTGTGTTTTATTCTAAGTGAGAAGTGAGGAACTTGGGGTCTGGAAGATGCTGCCATAGGAAGACCCCCCCACCCCAGGCTGCCGTCCTGTCCTGCGGGATCCTTTTCCCATGCTCCTACCTTCTGTTTCATCTCCCAGATGAGATCCAGCACCTTGGACGGGGTCGGGGTCGGGGATGGTCCTGGGCTGCCTTTGAACATGTATCTCCTGCAGACATATGGAGGGGTGCTGGCAGTGGGCTTGGGGGCTGCTCTTGGCAGGCTCGGGATGGTGCCATGCTCAGCCCTTTGGGCTCTGACGACTCTCCCCGCAGGTCAATGGACCTGTTTTACTCGTGGCCAGAAGAGAAGCTCTGGCAGCTCGTGTCCGTGGGGAAGCTGGAGAAGTTCTCCTATGGGCAGCTGATCTCAGCGGACTTTCGAGAATCAGGCTTCGTCATGTTTGTCTGCAAGGTGAGAGGGGAGGGGGCAGCTGGGCAGAGCTGCCTGTTGGTGTCTTGTGCCCAGAAAGACCATCTGCGGCCAGGGCTGTGCGACAGCTCCCACTTCCAGGTCATGAAAAGCAGAGGGTCCCCATGCATGGGGAGAGAAATCACTCTGGGATTAGAAACAGGCCTGGGGGGAGGGGCCCATGCTTATTTCTATGTAGGTACATATTTGAGTTACCTGTCTGGCATGCATACAGGTGGCTCATGTGAAGTGGGAAGAGGGCAGTCTCCTGCCCTCCCCAATCCCCATCTCGGTCACCCAGGAAGTGCCTGGAGGGTTGGTACTGATCCAGTCTGCCACAGGCATCCACCCGGCACAGACTCAGATGGGAGTTGTGTCCCAGCAGACCTGCTCGGTGGCTGCTAGACTGCCAGACTGCTCCGAGCTGTGCTCCATCCACATGCTGCTGGAACAAATCCCCCCGTCCTCTCCCCCCACCTCCCCACCCCAGTCCTTGGTACCCAGGGAGCTGCTCTTTGCAGGAGTGGAAAGGTCCTTTGCCTCTGTAACTAGGTTTGTCACCTTCCCTTGCAGAAAAGAATTTCAGAAAGGAGATAAATAGTAAAGGAAGACACTTTCATTTTGAAATGAAATGAGAGAGGGGGGGAAAGAGAGAGGGAGGGAGAGAGGGAGGAGAGAGAGGGAGAGAGAGGGAGAAAGAGAGAGAGAGAGAGAGAGAGAGATGTGTTCAGGCTTCTCCAGGCAGAGGAGAGCTGGGTACACACCCCAAGTTGAAAACTTGAGATGCTGGGCCAAAGGACAGATGAAGTCATGTGATTTGCTGTTACGTGGACGGTTCTGGAGAGTATCATGCTAAGTAAAGTCAGTCAGAGAGGGCGGGACAGATTCAGAATGATCTCCTGGATGTGGGATAGAAAGAAGCTCCGTAAGGGAACAGCGAAGGCCCAAAGGCAACAAAACCAAGAGCAGGAGAACTGTCTTCAGTAGGAAGCTTGGCACTGGAGCAGGGGTGAGGGAGATAAATTAGGGATGGGAGCACTAGGACAACGCGGGAGGGAAATGGGGAGGGGACTCAGAAAAGCCTACCGAGGCAGGCTGGGGGGCGAGAGAGGAGCAGAGGACACTGGTGGAGGGAAGTGGATGTGGTGAAGGGATTGGTGTTAGAACACTGTGTGCCTGAAACTTAATAATGAATAGCTGGAAAAAGGCAAAAGGAAAAAAAGAAAACAAGATGCAGGTGACCCCCGAGCAGAGATGCCAGTGGCCCCAAAGAAGAGGGGTGTGGGCTGCTTGTCTCTGCAAAGTTAGTTTTGTAGGGTTTTCCTAAGCTCCCCCCCCCCCCGCAAAGTCTGTTGCTAGGGTGTTGTCATGGGTGAGAGTTTAGAACTATTGGCGGTCTTTTTGTCTTTTTCTTTTTTTGGTGGGGTGTAGGGGGGGCAGACCACACCCGGCTGTGCTCAGAGCTTACTCCTGGCAGTGCTGGGGACCTTCTAAGGTGCCTGGGATACATGTGATCTCTCTGCAGCCCGTTCTTCCCCTCTGGTCACAGCCATTGATCCTGGGGCTGAGACTCTCCTCTCTGCAGGCCAGTGGCTCTGCATTCCAGAGGCCCCCAGGGCTTTGGGCCACTGATTCTGTTTTAAGAGGCAGTGGCTCTGTCTACCGCTCATCACTGGCCCATCCTGGCTGCCCGTCTGCTGTGGGTGGAACCCAGGCCGCACACTCACAAGACAGGACCGCTGGTATTGAGCCCTCTTGAATGCTTTTCTTTTTTTTTCATCTTTATCTTTTTTTTTTTTTTTTTTTTTGCTGGTGTGTGTGTGTGTGTGTGTGTATGTGTGTGTCCCCATGTCTCTCCTGGGCAGTGTCCAACATGCTGAGTAGCGGCTCTGGGCAAGTTTTGGCCAACATGTGAGGGTCTAAGAGAGTAGTGGTGCTTGGGGACCACATGGTGCCTGGGTGTCCCAAGTCGGGGCATGTGCAAGGCATGGACTTCATCCCTGAACTTTCTCTCCAGCCTAAGCTCTTAAATCTTAAGGATTCCAGAGTACTTCTTAAAATTAATATTTTTATCCCCCCCCCCACACACACGCACATAAAAGAAAAATATAAGGGAATGGACAGGAAGCTCAGTGAGTTGGAATGCATGTTACATGCAGGAAACTCAGGCTGCATCCACAATACTAATGTGATCCCCAGAGCACTGCTGGGCATGGCCCCCAGGGCTGGCTCAAAATCCCATTTATTTGTTTATTTATTTATTTATTGTCTTGGAGTTACACTCAGAGATACTCAGGACTTTCTCCTGGCTCTGTACTCAGGGATCACTCCTGGCAGGGCTCAGGGGACCCTATGGGGTGCCAGGAATCGAATCTGGGATGGTCACATGCAAGGTACTATCTCTCCAACCTCCATTTGGGCGGTGGGGGGGACACAGCGTCACCTGATGGTACTCAGGGCCTATTCCTGGCTATGTGCTTAAGAGTCACTCCTGGTGGTGCTTGAGACATGTGTGATGCCAGGATTGAACCTGGGTCATCTGCATGCAAGGCAATCTCTGGATCAGCCCTTCCTGCCCTGCTTTTTTTTGATGTGCACCAGTGATCAGACCTAGGGACTTACCTACAAAAGTAAGTTCTCTGAGCCACAACCTGCTCTGCTCTGAAGCTCTTTTTTCTTTCTTTCTTTCTTTCTTTCTTTCTTTCTTTCTTTCTTCCTTCCTTCCTTCCTTCTTTCCTTCCTTTTCTTTCTTTCTTTCTTCTCTCTCTTTCCTTCTTTCTCTTCCTTCTTTCCTTCCTTCCTTTCTTTTTCTTTGTGTGTGGGGGCACAGCTGGTGATACACAGGGCTTTCTTCTGGCTCTGGGCTCAGGGATAACTCCTGGTGGGGCTCGGGGACCATATGGGGTTCCAAGAATCGGTTGAGTTGGCCATGTCCAAGGCAAATTCCTTACCCGCTGTACTAGCACTCTGGCCCCTGCAGCAGCTCTCTCCTGCAGGTACAAAGGCCTGTGTATAGTTCTTCTTCCCCTCCTCCTCCCCATCCCCCTCCTCCTTCCCATTCCCTTTCCCTACCTCTCCCCCACCCCCTTTCCCTTCTCCTCCTCCTTCTTGTGGCATACTATGCATTCTTCTGCACTTTGCAGTTTTAATATTTCTCCTGGAGCCAGAGCAATAGTACAACAAGTAAGGGGTTTCCTTGCATGCAGCAAACCAAGGTTTGATCTCCAGCATCCCATATGGTACCCTGAGCACTCACTGCTAGTGTGATTCCTGAGTGCAGAGCCAGGAGTAAGCCCTGAGATTGCTGGGTATGGCCCCCAAACCACCACCAACAACAATAAGGTAAAGGCCCTCCCGTTGATCGTCGATTTGCTCCAGCGGGCCCAGTAACGTCTCCATTGGAGACTTTGTTGTTACTGTGTCTGGCATATCGAATACTCTTGGTAGCTTGCCGGGCTCTCCGAGAGGGGCGGAGGAATCGAACTCGGGTCGGCCATGTTGGCCGCTTGTAAGGCGAACGCCCTACCCACTGTGCTATCGCTCCAGCCCAACAACAATAATAACAACAAAACCCAAGAATAGTTCTTGATCATTTCATGTCAGTATACAGAGAGCTCATTTATTTGTTTTTATGACCGATGTCATATTTAACCAGTTCCCTCACTGATATTTACATTGTTTAAATCTTTTGTTCCTTGGAATGGTGCTTTAATTAATAACCACGTACAGAGCACCATTTCATCGTAAGTCTCCACCATAGCTCTATTAGGAAGATGAACGATTCCCCAGACCTGAGTACCACTGCTCTGCTGAGCCGAAGCACTGAACATCCAGCCTGCACAAGTGGGTTGAATATCACTGGGTGTGGCCCCAACACTTCCCCACCACCTCCAGAATTACTTGGGAGGCCCCTCAAAATTAAAAAAAATAGTATGGAATATTTAATTATTATTATGAACCATAACATATTCTTTACTGTGTGTAAAATGTTCTAGCATGACTGTATCCCAGAGAGCCAGTTAATGTCCCAGCCCTGGGATCGTCTTTTCCTAATTCCCCTGAACCGGGAAGAGAGCAGTGTCACTAACACAATAATGAGGGTGCTGCAGGCTGCTGCCTCCTGGGATTTGAGGGGTTCTGAAGAAACAGATCCTGGAACGGGTCCAGTCAGGGTCCAGATGTGGCTGCTTCTGCCACGGTCAGAAAGCTGCTTCCCGGCCACGCTTGCAGGCAGAGTAGCAGGATGTGCCCCCCTAACCTCGCCTACCCAGGAGCTGTGACCAGCGAGTCTTGGCAACATCCAGAGCCGTAGCCCAAGGGAACCTGGAAAATGTAGCTTCTAGGGAAGGGGACTTAGATCCCCCAAATCCCCCAGGAGTCTGGGGAGGAGGGTGAGGGCCCTGGCAAGTGCAGAGTCAGCTTTGGAGCAGCTGGAGACATTCACATGAGCAGAGGTGGGCGGGCCCAGAGTGCAGGCACTTCCAGATCTGCCTCTTTCCCAAGAGCTTGCTGTCTCTTACCTGAAAATGTGGGGCAGTCAGCTCCAAAGCCAGCCAGGTGAGAGTTGGGTTGGGGAGGAAGGGCAAGTTCAAGACTTCCCTGGAAGGGGGACCGGAGCAATAGTACAGCAGGTAGGGCATTTGCCTTGCACACGGCCGACCCTGGTTCGATTCCCAGCATTCCATATGGCCCCCTGAGCACCACCAGGAGTAATTCCTGAGTGCAGAGCTAGGAGTAACCCCTGTGCATCGCCGAGTGTGACCCAAAAAGAAAAGAAAGGAAAAAAAAAGAAAAAAGACTTCCTGGAAGGGACACCCGTGACTATATCCTGCCCAGCAGAAATGAGGAATGACACAGAAGCCGGGTTAGCTTCCATTAGCCCGTCCTTGTTAATATGTTAATATCTGTCCTCTAGACCAGTGGGCTGCAGGGCAGCAGCTGCTGGATGACCTGGAATTCATGACAAGAGACACCCTCAGGCCTACCCCAAAGCTGTCGAATACAAAATTCTGTGAGGGCCGGGCTCTGTGTGCTGTGCTGTGTGTGTGTGTGTGTGTGTGTGTGTGTGTGTGTGTGTGTGTGTGTCCCGAGCTTCCTTTGTGGGGGCACCGAGGGAAGTGCTCAGTGGCTGCTTCCTAATACTTCCTGATACATGCGAAGCAAGAGCCCTAATCCCTGTGCTTTCTCTCGTGCGTTGTCATGGTGTTCTAATGCCAGGGTGTTCAAAGCGCATGCTGAGAAAAAAACACTGCACCAAGTAAAGCAGATCGTTGTAATAACTATTATTTTAGACAAGCTAATTTGTAGCGTGAAGGTTGTCCATCAGAGTTCTGTGTCTCGGGCCTGGAAACCCTGGTGCAGCCACTCTAGGCAGAGGTGAAGAGCACCTGCCCTGCCAATTGCTCTGTCCTCATTTTCAGTCCCAAGAGCGGGCTCTTGGGCGTCCACACCCTCGGCTCTGGACGCCTGCATTTCATGCCTATTACCACTAGAGGGCACAAGCAGTAGCGGGTGCTGGGGTGTCTGGGGCCTTGGAGGATGGGATTAGCTTCCTGCTGAGAACGTCAGCAGAGCCGGTAATCAAGACATTTTGAGCAGTTAATCATTTGAGGAGCACATGAGAAATTTTTTTCTCTACAGCTATAGATGCAGTTAAAGATTTTCCAAGAGGAGACTGCTTGCCTGTATTCCTCTGGCACCTGCAGTTCCTGCTTGATAAACGTTTGTTGAATGAGTATTGACGAAAGATGAAGCACAAGGCCTGGAATATGATAGGGATTATTACATGTTTCATCCATCCCTCTTCCTCTTCAGTAATCATCTGTTTTGAATCTGAAAGGTTCTTGATAAGAAAGGGTAAGGTTTTAGGGGCTGGAGTGGTAGTACAGCGGGGAGGGCGCTTGCCTTGCACGAGACAGATCCGAGTTCAACCTCGGCAACCCATATGGTCTCCTGAGCACCACCAGGAGTGATTCCTGAGTGCAGAATCAGGAGTAACCCCTGAGCATCGCCGGATGAGACCCCAAAACAACAGGAAGGAAGGGAAGGAGGAGGGGAGGGAAGGAAGGATTTAGGTCAGAAAAATAGCTTAAAGAGCTAAGCCCATGTTTTGCATAGAGGAAGCCTGGGTTTGATCCCTGACACTATTAATGGTCCCCTGAGGACAGATATCCTGAGCACTGCTGGGAGCAACCCCTAAGCAGAGCCAGGAGTAGCCACCAGCACCACAGGGGGGTGGGGGAGGAGGGATAAACCCCAAGACAAGATAAAAGGGGTAAAGATTTTTTTATTATTTTTAAAAATTTTTGAGCTACATGTGGCAGTGCTCAGGGCTTATTTCTGGCTCTATGCTCAGAGATCACTCCTAGAGGTCTCAAGGAATGCCCGGGATCGAATCTAGGTCAGCCGTGTGCAAGGCAAGTGCCTCACTGTACTATCTCTCCGGCCCAAAGAGAGTAAGACCTTACAAATAAGAACTTTCCACTTGTCAGATTAGGAAAAAAGGAAAGACTTGTCCAGACACAGTTGTCAGCGTTGCACCAAGCAGGCGCTGTTGGAGAGAGGATAAACTGACATTACTGGAGGGTAGTGTGACAGTGTTCTAAAACTTAAAACATGCCTACCGTTAAGAATTAGTCCCAGGGAGATAACCAAATAGAGTATTGGGGCTGGTCTCCAGATTATGCTGCAGTTATCAGCAACCTCACATCCCAAAGGGATCAACGCACAAAGATTTATTTCTCCCTCTCACTGCTTGATCCTGAAAGGTCAGTGGGGATCTTGCTCCAGAGGCACCCAAGGGACCCAAACCCTGGAGACTGTCTTGTCCCAGCACAATCAATAGCACAGGAAAGGCAGACTTGAGCTCAGCAGTGGCTTTTGAAGTTTCCACCCCGTGTATCACGGATCATTTTGCCCAGGAAACTCGCCCCAGTAAGAGGTCCATGTTTAATTCAAAGGATGGAAAAATACAGTTCCGCCGTGTGCCTGGGGGAAAATCAGGAGTATCTGGGCACTGCCTGCCTGACCACCCTCGGCAGGAGATGCATGGACAAGATTATCAATTAAAGTCTGCTGCAAGCCATAGGAACCTAATAGAGCGGCTTAATGAATAGTAATTTATTTTTCTCATGCAAGAGAGTCTAAAATTAAGCCAGTCAGGGTGAAGAGCTGTCCTAGGAGGTCTAAGAACTCAGGCACTCGGGTTCTTACTGGCTTCCAGCTTCGCCCTCGCCATCCACATTTGTGGCAGTCCTGGTGGGCTGCTCGCCCCGGGCCCATCCTGGCATCTGATTTGCAGTCTGGCAGAGGGAAAGGGGAAGGGCAGCCGGGCACCCAGCCCCTCTGCTTTCCTGCCATTCTTAAGACCTGCCCGCTGCCACTCCCACCGCAAAGCGTTAGGGATGGGGTGAGGCAGAGGGTTCAAACTGGGAGTTTGTTTTGCTGTCCTGAAAATCTGACTTATGTGTAAAATGGCTAAGTATTCATTTTCAAAACCTTAAAAATCCTTTATCAAAATAAATTAGAAAACCTAGATGAAATAAAACATCGGTGGGGGGGGGGGCGCAGATCAGAAACTGCCAAACTTTATTCTAGACTAGAAAAATAAATAGAAATAGAAAGCCCCAGAGGCAGCGCAGACTGTCGCCACACATGTGGGAGTCCCAGTGTTCAGCCATGGTTCCCTGAGCACCGCAAGGAGCAACTTCCAGTCGGGCAAGGAGTAAGCCCTGAGCTCTGCTGGGTGGGGCAACACCCTCCCCCCCCCCCAAAAAAAGGGAAAGAAACCTACGAGCTCAGTGTGTAATAAAGAAAGTGAATTCACTGTTAATTACCTTCCCACAGAGAAAAGCACAGATTTTCATCCTGTCCTCGAAGATTTCATTGGCAAATCCTACCAAACATTCTAAAAAGAAATCATATCAACCCTACATAAAAGAGTGATAGTACAGTCCCAGTTTTATCCCCGGTATCCCATACCCTGAGCCCGCCAGGAGTGATCCTTGAGTGCAGATCCAGTAGTAACCCCTAAGCACAGCTGGGTGTGGCCCACAAACCAAAAAAACAAACAAACAAACAAACTGAAAAAGAATCCTAGGGGGAAAACTATACAAAGGTGATAATACAAGAAAAAGAAATCTGCAATTATCAGTCATGAATATAGATATAAAAGTTAACAGTATTGGGGCTGGAGCAATAGCACAGCGGGTAGGGCGTTTGCCTTACACGCGGCCGACCCGGGTTCGATTTCCAGCATCCCATATGGTCCCCCGAGGACCGCCAGAAGTGATTCCTGAGTACAAAGCCAGGAGTAACCCTTGAGCATCGCCAGGTGTGACCCCAAAAAGAAAAAAAAAGTTAACTGTATTATTAGCGAAATTAACTGAAAAGAAAAATGGAGGGAGAATCATGTGATGCTATGGGTTGTATCTGGGGCTGAGTGGAATTCTGGCCTCTCACATGCCAATGTGCCCCCGTCCCCTGAGCTCTCACTCCTGTCCGTGGTTCTCAAGGCTCAGAGTTGAATGTTTTTAAATAAACATAGAACAATTTCACTGAAAAGAGATCACCTGAAAATCCCATTTGCATTCAGCAGCGTAAAAATAAGTGGGGCACGACGCTGAGCATCTCTTTAAGCTCCGTGTGGAGGCCCGGTGCTAACCCTTTTCTGCTCGCTGTGTCCAGGGCACCTGTGAAGTCCTGCGCCTGGTGGAACTCTCCAACTCCATCTTCTATTACAAATGGATCTGGCAGCAGCTGCATCTCCTAGACGACCACTCCCTGAAGGCTCACTTAATGGGTAAGCCAGCGGCCTCCCGTGGCCACTTCCTGGCCCACAGAGTCTGGGAGAGTGAGGGCTAGACAGGCCTCGCGGGGTGTCAGCATGGCCTTCCGGCTCCGGGCCTCACCCACGTGGCCCAAGGGTTAGGCTCCAGCTGGCCTCCTGGCCTTCAGCCCGGCTAGGGCTCCCCCCACCTCCTCCTCCTCGCCTCAGGCCTCCCAATGGCTCAGGCTTTCTCAAAACCCCCTGCCCCCACTTCACCCTCCTTTTTTTCCGCCCAGCTGCACTTTGATTTGAGACTAAACATCCCTTCCCCAGACAAAACTGATTCTCATGCTAGCTCTTCTATGGCCCAGGGTACCCCACTGAGGTTCCTTTTTTTTTCCCCCCCTCTCCCATTGAGAACATGCACGTCTTCCTTGCTCTGAGCTTGGATGGTGAGAAACCCATTGTAAACGGGAAGCGAACTGCTTTTATACCTAAACTCCATTTACTACAAACACCTGCCCCGAAGGTCTCTGGTTGGCCACTTTACACTGCGGGCTGAGTTGTGGGCAAAACAATCCAGCCCCAAACTCAGTCACTGCCTGGCACCTGGAGAATCTTTTTTTTCTGGGGTCTGGGGTGGTGAAGGCCTTGAGGCTCAGGGGCCACAACCAGCTGTGCACCAAGGCCAGAAACATGAGAATTCAAGGACAGTTTAGACGGAATTGATATTTCTTGATACCACTGTAAAATGGCAAAATCCCGAAGTGGGGCTGTCGTATGTGGGGGTGTCAGTGACTGAGTGGGTCTCAGAACAGTCCCGCTGAGGGTTTTGTGACTGGGATATAGCTCAGTGGTAGAGTACATGCCTCAAAGTTTTGAGGGCCTGGACTTGATTCCCAGCACCACAAAAAGAAAAATAAAAAAATTCAGAATGGGCTGAGGAATGGTTTCATGGTCAAACTACCCATCAGGCTTTGTGCTCAATATCCTGGTGGCCCCCACTCCCACCAAGTACAGTCCCCAGGGCTCCCCCCGACCCCCAGAGCGGGATCTCCAGCATGCAGCCAGGTGTGTGTGAGTGCCATAAGCTGGAAAAAATGGGGACCTCCTTCTAATAAGCAATGCGGCCTGGAGTGTGGCCCCGAGTGGGCACGTGTGGGCATCCCAGCATTCTTGGGAGCACCACCACTGAATGAATGTGACCCCGGGAGCACCTCCGTGAGTGTGAGCCCCACCACCAGCCGTGCACAGTTAAGAGGGGGAGCATGAGAAGGAAGAATCCAGGGGACCAGAGGGATAGTACAACGGGGAGGGAGTTTTCCTTGCAGGTGTCTGACCCAGGTTGGGTCCCCCGTATTCCATATGGTCCCCTAAGCCCATCAGGAGTGATCCCTGAGTACAGAGGCCTGAGAACAGCCAGGTGTGACCCAAAAACCAAAAGAAAAAAAAAGAAATCTTGCATTTCCCGCAACAAGTAACTCTAGCTCGGGAAGCAACTCCGGGGGCAAGTGGACAAACTTTGAGTAGCCGAGTGGGGTCTGGCCTCGTCGCAGGCAGTGAGCTGTGCGCACACTCACCAGGGCCTTCTCCAAAGGCTCCACTCCTGCTCCCTGCAGTCACTTATTTCCTGTTGCTTTCTGATTGGAGGCTGAGGGCTGGACACAGCTGTTCAGCTTATTGTCCCGTCCTCACAGTTGCCCTTCTAGAAAGTCCAGCCGTATTGTCCAATGAGGAAACAGGCTCTAAGAGTCAAATCACTTGTCTCAGGGTGCTGGGGCCACTGAACAGTAATATAAGACTTCCCACTGGGGATTCTTTAGCAGTTTTTCTTTTTCTATTTTTTTATTGTCTTTTTCTTGGTGAGGGAAACCTCCCCAGTGGTGTTGGGGGCCACCAGGGCTATAGCTAGCAGGGGTTGGGAGTCCATACGATGCTGGGACTTTCACCCAGTACCTTGTGCGTGCCAGGCAGGCGTTCCTCTGCCCCAGAGCTGGGCTTCTCAGCGCGCTCTCCCCTCTTCCTGTCTCCAGCCTTCCGCCTCTGTCATTTCATGTTACTGAGCGTGGTCAGGGGGTTCTTTGAGACTGGCCGGGTGCTGGACTGGCTGGGTCCTGCATCCTGCCAGTCCTCCAACCATTCACAGTGCTTGTACCAAGCACCTCCCTGCCCTTGGCCCTTATTCCATACATAACTCTCTTGTAATTAAAACACAATTTTTTTTTCTGCTCCCTGTTTCTGTCCGTAAGGGGTTTTCTCCCAGTGGTGGTGGGGGAGCGTCTCAGGCCTGGTGCACGTGCCCCTGGGATTGTATTCAGGCATGTGGGGGGGGGGGGCGGTGCTGGGATCCCACTTGCAGAGTCAAGGCAGATGCTCCATCGCTGTCGTCTCCTGCCTGCCCGCCCTGAGGTCTGTCTTACTGTTTGAGTCGAGAACACTAGCCCTCATCAGACACTCATAGTGATCTTCACGGGTCTTGTGGTTCTGTTTGTGTTTCGTCACCCACCTGGCAATGCTCAGGGGTTACTGCTGACTCTGCACTCAGGAATAACTCCAGGCAGTGCTCAGGGGACCATATGCGGTGCCGTGGATTGAACTCAGGTCCACTGAATACAAGGCAAACATCTTATCCACTGTACTGCTGCCACTATGGCCCCTTTCCCCCCACCCCACTTCTCTCCTTTTTTTTCTCTTTTATTTCCTTTCTCTCTCTCTCTCTCTCTCTCTCTCTCTCTCTCTTTCTCTCTTTCTCGTGTGTGTGTGTGTGTGTGTGTGTGTGTGTGTGTAAATTCGCTTATTGACTAAGACACAAGGTCAAGTTCCCCCCCAGTCCTCCCTCTCCCCTATAGAGCCCAACAACAAAAGAATTGATAAGCATTCTTTTTTTTTTCTTTTTGGGTCGCACCCAGCCATGCACAGGGGTTACACCAGGATCTGTACTCAGGAATCACTCCTGGCAGTGCTGGGGGACCCTATGGGATGCTGGGAATCGAACCCGGGTTGGCTGGATGCAATGCAAATGCCCTACCTGCTGTGCTATCACTCCAGCTCCTTGATAAGCATTTTTAGGGTGACGTTCCCCCCACCGCAATTCTCTCCAGAGCCCTCTGCTTAAGAACACAGACACATCTGGAGTAGGCAAGGACAGACACTCAGGGAATCTCTGACCAGAAAACGAGTTCTGAGTGTGTGTGCTTCCCGTGCCCCTTGTATGACACCAGCTGACATTGAAAAGACAGATTGAGGCCGAGGAGCACGGGGAACACAGGGTTCCAGAATGAGGAGTGTGTGGCAGGGTAAGCGGACTAGACAATGTGGACAATGTGGTACCCGGCTGTGTCCCACCACCCCCGAAACTCGTCTCTCAGCCTCCCTTGCACGGAGGGGTAACCGCTGCCACTCTCCCCTGAGCTCTGACTGAGCCATTCCCGAGCTCTTGTACCTTATGGTGGGGCTGCATCCAGTTGCGCCCCCGACTCTACAGAAAAGGACTCTCCTGAAGAGACTGGACCTGTCTCCACTGTGACTTTCTGTCTGGCACATTTCAAGCTTGACTGAATTAGGGGGCAGCAGAGATTTCCCTGCATGCCTTTAAAAAAAAAAAAAAACGTTTTTTTTTTTTTTCATTTTGGGGGCCACTCCTGGTAGGACTCTTGGTTCTGTGCTCCAGCATCACTCCCAGTAGTGCTCAGGGGACCATGCAGTGCTGGGGATCAAACCCTGACCCCTCACCTGCAAAGCAAGTGCTCAGCTTAGCTTGTCTCAGCTGGTGCTGATAGACCTGCCTGCACCGCTCCCTCCTTGGAGAGGATCATCCAGGCTCTTCCCCTCCTCAGAGATGCAGCCAGCCCTCCTGAGATCAGAACCGAGCCCACCCGTGGGGATAGTCCAGCAGGGAGGGCACTTGCCTTGCAGACAGCAGATCCGGGTTCCATCACCAGCATCCCATATGGTCCCTTGAGTCCTGCCAGTGAGCCAGTCTCTGAACAGAGGGCCAGGAGTAAGTCCTGAACACCACCTGGTTGGCCAAATACAAAAAAGGACTGAGAGGGCTGCAGAGGGGAAGGGAGACGAGGCTGCATCTGTGCAGAGCGAGAGTCTCATTTCCCATTTGGGTGACTTTGGCGAGCCTGAAAGTCTCAGGGCCTGGTTTCTGCCTACTTTCTAGTGTTGTAACAAGGCTCAGGAACCAAACTACTCAGCCTTATCTGCTTTGGGACCATACCACGTGCTGCTCGGGCTACTCCTGGCTAGGTGCTCAGGGGGTGGGGGGGTGGGGGGCGTGTCTCCAGGTGCTGTCGGGAGAACTATGTAGTGCTGGGGATCGAACCTGGATCTCCTGTATGTGAAGCACGTGTTCCACTCTCTCATCTAACAAAAGCTTTTGTTAGATGGTATGAGAACATTGTTTAATCTGGAGCTAATTTTGCTTCATTCGTGAGACACACCAAGTTTGAGTACCCGTGGGGCCCGTCACTCAAGCTGTTTGTCACAGTCATTTTACACTAGCACCAAGCCTAGTGCTCTGTGCTTGCAGGACCGCTACACCATACCTACCACCGGAGCACAAAGACTCCTTTGTTGTGCTGTTGTGTTGTTTTATTTTCCCTTAAGGGGAGCTCCCAAGCAGTACTCAGGAGGTCTGGGCCCCCTACTCGTGATTCTCGACAAATGGGTGAGCACTTGAATGCCAACGTTCAAAGATGTTGGGTCCAGATCAGCAGTACAGTGGATAAGATGCTTGCCTTGCCCGCAGTTGACCTGATACAGTCCCTGACACCCCACATGGTCCCCCAAGCTAACCAGGAGTGATCCCTGAGCACAAAGGCAGGAGTAAGCCCTGAGCACTACTGGGTGTGACTCCAAAACAATAACAAAGTCTCATGGATGCTGCTCAGGCAGTGGTGCTCAGGGCTCTCCAGGGCCATACCCAACAGTGCTCAGGGCTGCAGGGATGCCCCTGGCCATGCCTGGGGCCAATGCCCCTGCCCCTGTGCTGTGTTTTATTCTAGTTAATGGAAAAGAAAGCTATTTCTGGTCCTCGGTGAACTCTGATGATTTATCCCTCGAATTGTTTTAGGTAGTTCTTTCACCAGCTTTGGGTAGCATATTATCTATATTATCTCTTACTATAAACAAATCATCCCCAAATCTTGTGACTTTAATAGTTCCACTCCCCGAGGTGCGCACTTCTGCCACCGAGCCTGCACATGGCACACTCAGTGGAGGTGCACAGGTCACGGTTGTGGCGTTGTTGGGGGCTGCTGTGTGCTCACTCGAGCTCACACTTCCTGGCTGTGGGGATCACATGTGAGCTAGTCATAATGCTCCCGGAGGCTGCCTGTGTGTGCGTGTGTGCACGCGCGCGCACACACACACACACACCACACACACACACTCTCTCTCTCTCTCTCTCACACACACACACACACACACACACACACACACACACACTTTGTTTTTCTTATTTGGTTTAGGGGACATACATACCCAGCAGTGCTCAGGACTTACTCCTGGCTCTGCACTTAGGGGGTGCTCGGGAGACCATATGAGGTGTTGGGATCCCAATATGATCAAAGCCAGGTTGACTGCGTGCAAGGTAATCACCCTTCCCTGCTGCGCTATCTCTCAGGCCCCTGTTTTTCTGTTTTGAGCTATGTCAAGTGGTGCTTGAGCTATTCCCAGGACTCGGGACTCTGGCTTCGCTTCTAGATGTGGTAGGGGGGGACCATGTGGTGCCAGAATTGAAGTCGGAGGTCCTGCAGACAAAGCAGGTGCCCCAGCTCTTTGGCCATCTCCTTGTCCCCATCCCAGGCCTGGTTGTGTTGGGGCTGAGCCCTCTTGTGAGCAGGATAGCTGCCCCGATCTGCTCGGCCTGTGCGGGATACGGGGGCTGTGACGTGGCCGCAGGCTCGTGAGGCAGGCACATTCCTCCCGGCCTCTGCTATTCACTTCCTCTTTTGTGTCAGATCATATGTTCTGGCCATGGGCTTGCATTGACATTTGTCTGGGTGGAGTAGAGGTAAAAGATGTGGCTCAGGGCCCGAGCGATAGCATAGCAGGAAAGGCGTTTGCCTTGCATGTGGCCAACCCAGGTCTGATCCTTGGCATCCTGCATGGTCCCCTGAACCATCCAGGAGTGATCCCTAAGCACTGCTGAGTGTGGCAAACTTTCCAGAAACAATACAGGAAGCCACAGAGTTTTTCTTTTCTGTTTCTGCTTAGGGGCAAGGGAGGCTTACAAATGGTGCTCAGAAAGGGTGTTGGGAGGATCCTCCCAGGATGGGAGAAGCATGCTAAAAGTAGACTATAGACCAAACATGATTGCCACTCAATGCCTCTCTTGCAAACCACAACACCCAAAAGGAGACAGAGGCAGGGTGGGATGGGGGGATAGGGGGTGGGAGGGATACTGGGACCCGTGATGGTGGAAAATGGGCACTGGTGGAGGGATGGGTGTTTGATCATTGTACAGTTGAAACCCAAGCACAAAAATTTGTAAATCTTCAACTGTACCTCATGGTGTTTCACTAACAAAAATTTTTTAAAAAATGTAAATGATGGAGAAAGGGCACTGGTGGAGGGATGGGTACTGGATCACTGTATAACTGAAACCCAAGCACAAAAATTTGTAAGTCTACAACTGTACCTCATGGTGTTTCACTAATAAAAATTAAAAACAAACAAACAAATGGTGCTCAGGGGACCCAGGAGCCATTCCTGGTGATTCCCAAATACCCAGGCCATGGTTCAGTACTGCTGAAGCCCAGGGAGACCGCAGCTCACCCCAGTGCTTGGGGCCACACTCAGGAGTTCTGGGATCAGACTCAGGTCAGCCACATGCGGGGCATGTGCCTTAGCCCCTGGGCTCTCCCCCAGCCCCTTCTGTTTTCCTTCTGTCCCCCTTGGTCCAGACCGGTGAGGCAGGTGACCACGAGGGGCTTTCAGCCAACCCTGATTCTGGCAAGCCCCTTTCCTCTCCCCATCCTCTCCTCTCCTCCCCTCTGCAGAGCCTTCTCCTGAGGAAAGATTCAGGCAGTTCCAGATCAAATCCTTCCCACACCAGGACTACAGCCCCCTGAAACTCCTGCATCTGCAGAACTCCAGGAAGTCCCAGAAGTTCAGCCTCAGTGAAATTAATACCAAGGCGAACACCCTCCCGAGGAAGCTGGGCCCAAAGGTCAAGTAAGCGTCAGCCCTGACAGAGAGGGGCATGGCTTCTGATGAGAGGAGGGGTGGGTTCATAGGGTAGATTGTGAGGGGGCCCGGGCAAAGGGAAGGGCAGGCCCAGGTCACCCCTCATGGTTGGGGTGTGGCTTTGGCTCCAACATCACATATGCCCCCCATATTCGGGGGTCTCTCCTGAGCAATGAGGAATAGCTCCTGAGCACTGCCAGGTGTGGCCACCTTCCCACCCACATGTCTGAATATTTAACAAGTGCTTAGGGGATCCTAACCCGGGTCCAGAACTGCATTATCCAATCCGATCCCCTCCCCCCCAATAATACTACCAGGCTAGTGTGAATCCTCGCTCCTGGCTTTCTGGAGAGAAAACCAAGGTCCAGAGACACCAAGTGCATACTTGAGGGGCTACAGGCGGGAAGTGGCAGAGGTAGGATTTGAACCTGAGGAACCCATGGTGCCCATTCTGGGTATCCTGTTCCATGGTTACCCGAAGAGCTAGGGGCTGCGCCCAGCAGGCGGCCTTCACTATAGCCGGGAGCCCCAGTGACTGAGAAGCAGACAGGAAACTTGGGGTGCGCTGGAGGATAAAGGGGCTCAAGGCAGGTCTGAGGGTGTGGAGCTGATAGCGGCCTCTCCCGCACTAAGATAGCATCTCCTGCTCTGTGTGCGTGTGGGGGCTGCTGCCTGCCAGCCCTCTGCCCTCCCTGTGTGACAGGACCCCATGAATTCTGAGGTGTCAGATCCCCTTATGGTGCTCCCTTCAGAGATCCACTGCTTGAAATCCCAATGCCAGTTCCTCCAGAGGGAACTGGGAGCCAACAAGGCCCTTCCTTCCCTCCCTCCATCCTTCCCTCCTTCCATCCTTCCCTCTTTCCTTCCTTCCTTCCTTCCTTCCTTCCTTCCTTCCTTCCTTCCTTCCTTCCCTCCTTCCCTCCTTCCCTCCTTCCCTCCTTCCCTCCTTCCTTCCTTCCTTCCTTCCTTCCTTCCTTCCTTCCTTCCTTCTTCCCTTCCTCCCTCCCTCCATCCTTCCTCTCCCCCATCTTTCCTTCCGTCCTTTACACCTCTTGGTGCTCAGGGCTCCCAGCTCAGTAATTGTGGGTCACTCCTGGCAATATTGGGGGGATCATGCAGTCCTGGGGATCAAACCTGGGGATCTTCCATGCAAAGTCTGTGCTCCAGCCTGTTGCTTCATCTCTGAGCCCATTTTCTGCTGTCACAAAGGGAGGAGGGACCGAGTGGGCCCAGAGTGCATAGTAAAGGCCTTGCTGGACATGGTGGGAGAGGCAGCCGACTCACGTGGCAGTGAGTTCTGCTGTTCTCTCTGCTTCTGAGACAGAGCACAGCCCGCCTCTGCCTCCTGCCCCGCCTGACCAGGGACAGAACCTCAGGGTCCTGTGCAAAAGTAGCTCCAGGGAGCAAAGTACAAGTCCCCAGGTCACCCCAGGAAACACGTCTGCATAAATATGCAGATAATTCATCTTTGGGGGCTGGAGCCATTGTACAGTGGCCAAAGTGCTTACCCTACACACAGCCAACCCAGGTTTATTCGCAGGCACCTCATATGGTCTGCCCAGCACTGCCAGGAGTGCTCTGAGTACAGCACCAGGAGCAACCCCTGAGCATCGCTGGGTATCGTCCCCAAACAAAAAAATTAATCTCTTTTTATCAGAAAGCGGAGCCCAGCTTCTACTGTACCAAAGTTTATTTGATCTTTTTTTGCCATTATGGGAGACACACCCAGCCATGCTAGAGCTAATGGGGCATGTGGTGCTAGGGTTCAAATCCAGGGCTTCACGCGTGTGCAATGCCCCCTGGCCAGACCTCCTCAGCCCTCTGTCGTAGCAGTCTACTCCCAGCATCCCCAGCTGCTCCCACCTGAATTCTCCTTCCTGGGGCCTGAAGCTGAAGCGGGAATAGCCCCCAGACTTAAAGGACTTGAGGCTGCTCCTCTCACCACCTCTTCCCACCCCCCCCCCCGCCCTCCAGTGAGCCCTAATTCTTTTTCATTTTTGCAAAGCAAGATAGTTTTTATTGAATCTTACAAAGGATGTGAGGGGAGAGAAAAAGAGATATGTGTGTTCGAAGAGAACACAGGCTTTTCCAGGGTGGGATAAGCAAAGAAACATACAGACAAGCGAGCGAGATATGTGTTCAAGGAAGAAGGTAGGCTTGAAGAGCCAAGAGAACCCTAGTTCTTGGCATTGTAACTCTCTTTCTCAGGACCCTAATCCTGGGTTCTCACCTCCCAAGCTTCACAAAGGACTTGTTCATATGCTAATTATCGAGGGGGAAATGCTGGTTATCCAGGGCCGCTGTGAACTGGCTGTGTTCCAAATGAATGCTTTTAACACAGTGTGAAATTTCAAATTTCAGCTCCAGGACTTATCAACCTCTCAACTACCCAATGATCAATACCAAACACGGTGAAATTCCCAAGGAGGCTGCGGTGGGGGCCTACCTCAGCATACGCACTGTGGAGCAGGGAGAGACCATTGTGAGTATGCAGTCAGCCTGGCTCCCAGGGCGCTGTCACCAGTGGCCAGGGGCGTGCGGTCACAGTAGGAAAGGCCAGAAAAGTCCATTCATAGTTTTTTTGTTTTGGCCACACAGCCAGCGGTGCTCAGGGGTGACTTTCAGTGGGGCTCAGGGGACCATATAGGGTATCGGGGATCAAACCTGGTCAACATGTGCATGGCAAAAGCTTTACACACTGTGATATATCTCTGGCCCCAAGTCCACTCATATTTGATCATCTTAAGGGATATTTGTAAAACATTTAATTATTTATTTTCATTTTTGGGCCACACCCGTTGATGCTCAAGGATTACTCCCGGCTCTGAGCCTGAGCTCAGGAATTACTTCTGGTGGTTCTTGGGGGAGTGAGATTGGGCGGGGGGGACCATATGGGATGCTGGAATTGAACCCAAGTCAGTGGCATGCAAGGCAAATGCCCTACCTGCTGTTCTATTGCTCCGGACCCATGTAAAACATTTTAGATATGATAATGGTATTGTAGCCATGTTTTTGATGTGGTTTGATTTGGAGGTGCTCAGGATCATGGGGTGCAAGGCATCAAATCTGGGGCTCTTGGGGTTCCTGCAAATGTGTTTTTACCCCAGGCCACTGGGGCCAACTCTCCAGCCCTATGGTAAGAGTCCTTATATTTTGGAGCTATGTATGAAAGTATTTTACTGATAAAATTAAATGACATCTGGGACTTGCTTTAAAATAGTCCATGACCAAGCAAGGCTGGAGCCCTCTCACTATACTCATTCAGCATTGTGGTGGAGATACTCACTAGAGCACTGATAGAAGAAAAGGAGAAAGAGCCAGAGATCGTTCAGGGGTTAAGATGCTTGCTTTGCATGCTGCTGATCTGAGTTCAATCCCCAGCATCACATATGGTCCCCCAAGCGCCACCAGAAGAGTGGTCCCTGGCCATAGAGGAAGCCCTGAGCACTGCCAGGTGTGTTCCAAAAATGGAAAAAATAAAAAATTTTAAAAGTATGTCGAGTTTGGGAAGGAAGAAGTAAGGCTGGGGCCGGAAAGATCATACTGAGGGTAGGGCACTTGCCCTGTTCACAGCTAACCTGCGTTCGATCCCCAGCATTCCACATAGTCCCCTGAATCCACCAGGATTGACTCCTGAGCACAGAGTCAGGAGTAATCCCTGCAAACGGCTGAGTGTGGCCCCCAAACAAACATAAAGCTCCAATCAAAGAAATAAAGTTGTCTTTGATTGCAAATGACATGTTGGTGTCTAGACACCTTCAAAGAGTTAAAAGAAAATGACTCCTGAAGTTTACAGTGAACTTTCTAAGTGATAGAATCCAGTATAAGAAGAGCTGTGTAATGGGTACCGGAGCTGGGTGATGAGTACTGGACATGGGTGATAGGTACTGGAGCTGTGGAATGGGTACTGGGGCTGGTTGATGAGTACTGGAGCTGTGTAAAAGGTACTGGAGCTGGGTGATAGGTACTGGATCTGTGTGAAAGGTTCTGGAGCTGGGTGGCTGATTGAGCAGCATCAGGAGAACATAAGGTTGAAGCATACAAAACATACTGCCCCGAGTAACAGAGTTCACGTCTTGCATGTGAAAGATCCTGTACTTGATCCCTTTGCATCGTGTTGTCCCCAAACACCACCTGGTCCCTCTCCTCTCTGCACACCTCTAGGGGTGACCTGCTCCACCTGGGGACTCCCAGTGCTTTGAGTGTGTCCTTGTAATCCCTGTTGCCAGCCACCCCACCCCAGGTGGGCCCTGTCTGTTCCTGTCTACACTTCCTGCTGTTCCACACTCCCCGTTCTCCCTGTGTGCCGGAGGGCCTGCCCAGCTCCTAGGGGTCTCTTCCTGTTGGTGGGTCAAACATGCTTCCGGCAACTTTATTTCTTTGTGGGCCATACCCCGTGGTGCCAAGGAGGGCTACCCCCAGTTTAGTGTGTGGGGGTCACTCCTGGTGATGCTTAGGGAACGGTGGGGTGCTGGTATCCAACCCAGGCCTCCTGCATGCAAAGCATGTGCCCAGACTCTTGAGCTATCTCTCCTTTCCTCAGTGCCCTTCCACCACTAAGAACAAAAGAGCCTTTTGGGGGTGTGTGTGGGTGCCAGGGCTGGATCCCAGGGCCTCACACAGGCCAGCCCCCGCCCTACCCTAGGCCGGTTCTTTGTAGGGTGCTCTTTGGTCTCATCCAGGCTTTCGTGCCACCTCTCTGGAGCCAGCCCCAGTGCCAGGGTGCTGGGAACACCTGCTTTACTTGCGTCTTCACGGGACGCCACCTCCGGCTCTCCTGCTGGCGGCTCGCTGCCGTTTGTCTCTGCTTCAGAGCAGGGGTGCTCCTGATGGAACGCAGGAAGGGAGGAAGCGTCGGAGCTGCTTGGCACCCCAGGCACAATGTAGGCACCGGAGCTGCCCAGGGTTGTGGATGGTGACTGGAGCTGGTGGCCTTGTGGGTGGCATGGGAGCAGGCTCTATGGGCCTGGCAGGGCCAGGACAGTACCAGCCCAGAGTCTGGAAAACCTCAAGAGGCCTGGCCGGGACCTCGGGCTGTCTTGTGTGATGGTCCTTGGGCCCAGCCAAGTGAAAGCCCCCCCACAGAGAGGCACGTATACATGATGCCCGTGGGCCACCCCGTCTAGAGGTGTGCCTTTGGGGAAATTTTGTTCTCCTCGCTTTCACGCCCTGGTTTGCACTGGGGCGGTAATAGAGGTGACCGAAGCTGCCTACCGGCAGACAATCGTTTCCTCACCCGTGGGAGCAGAGCTTGGAGCTGGGCCAGCCACAGACATAGCAGAGGTGGAGCAGGAATCGGCAGGTGGAGGGAAGCAGCCTCACAGGACAGCAGGGTGGAGGGGGACAGGCAGGCTGAAACCCCAGAGGTCGTCCAGGTGGGGCAAGACCACAGGAAAAAGACAGATGGCTAGGCAGGAGTTCTTGGATTCTGCATCCCAGTCCTAGCTCTGGGGCTCCACCCTTCAAACCTATGCCTTTATCAGAAAACCCACTCACCTGCCCCTCAGGGGACCCCGCCCATCTGCCCATCAGTGGGCCCACTCACCTGCCCATCAGGGAGCCCGTCCACCTGCCCATCAGGGAGCCCGTCCACCTGCCTATCAGGGGGCACAGCTCACCTGCCCATCAGGGGGCCCGCCCACCTGCCCATCAGGGAACACACTCACTTGCCCATCAGGGAGCACAGCTCACCCGCCCATCAGGGAGCACAGCTCACCTGCCCAGAGAGCACTCACCTAGCCCAGCTGCTGCCTCTAACATTCTGGCTCCCCTGAGCGTTCACCCCAAAGGTGGTTCCTAAGCCCATGTCAGGCCCCAAACCCCGCATGAGGCACCAGTGTGAGGCATGTCAGCTAACATTCCTGCCCTCCTTGGACTTCGGCTCTGCTCCGGGGATCAAATACTAAACAGATACTTGAGCAGACACGCAGGAACTTGCAAACTGTTGCTAGGAATGGAGTAGCAGATGGAGTGAGGGTGAATGGAAGAGCACGTGGGGGTGGGGGGGTGTTGTCAAGGAAGGCAGCTCCCGGGAGCTGAGATGGAGACCAGAATGACGGAAAAGATGAGTCCTGGTCCCTCCAAGAGAAGCATGCTCCTGATAAAAGTGACGCGTGAAGACCTGGCGGGGACATCAAGAACCATGGTTCAGGCATAGTAGGGAACAGAGTTGGTTCCAGAGAGAACCAGGCAAGGCTGATGGTGCCCAGGGCGGGCCAAGAGAAGTTTGATTTTGTTCCGGGTACTTTGGGAAGCTATGCGAAGGGGGTCAGCAGAGAAGGGATCTGTCTGGCCAGAGTGAGCAGGGACCCAAGGCGGTGAGAGCATCCCATCTGCTCCCAGTCAGCCCCAAATGTGCATCTGTGTTCGAATCCTGCAGCCTGGGTAAGTCACTTCACCCCTTGGTGCCTCTCTTTCCCTTTCCTCAAGGCATATGACTTTAAACATAGACTCTGGGGCTGAGCAGCTGCCAGGGGCCCACATCTTTGGGAAACGCTGAGCGGAGGCTGCAGGCTGGGCAGAGTCAGGCCTTTGGAGCAAAGGACTGTGGAAGGGAGGTGCAGCGGGGTGTGGTGCTGGAGGGACGGGGCCGACTGCGTTTCCCCCTTTCTGTCATGTTGCTAGGGATAGAAAATGGTCTTTCTAGACATACAAAAGAGTTGAGATTGGAGCAGGGGACTTGGAATATACTGTCCTGCAAGAAGCCATTGTTCTTGAGTGCCTGGTGGCCAGGCAGCTCCTGGACAGTGCAGAGGACCCACAGGACTCTCATCTGTGCTGGGGCATAGAACTCAGCGGCAGACGTGGCATCTTTATCTGGTGAAACGCGGGCAAGAACGCGCGGTCTCAGCTCTGGCTTCATACGCTTTCTTCTGCAGGGACTTCACCAGATGCTCCTGCCCGAGAGCCAGCAGGACGTCAGGCCCCTGATCCTCGTGAGCCTGGGAGTTGAGCTGATTCGGATGAGCAAAGATCAGTTTTACAAAATGTTCAGTGAGAAAGAGTTGAGGAAAAAGCTGTTGAGGTACCAGATCCAGTACCCCAGGTCAGTGCTAACGGGGATGAGTCCACCAGACCAAACCACTGTTAATCAAAAGAGTACTTTGGGGGCTGGAGAGGGTGCTTGCCTTGCATACAGCCAATTGGCGTTCAATCCCATAGGGCTCCTGAGCCCAGCCAGGTGTGACCCCTGAATACAGAGGCAGGTGTAGCCCAAAATCAAAAACCAAAATCAAAGAAGAAAAAAATTCAATTAAATTTTTTAATCCATCCCACTTCCCTCGCCTTTGTCATTGTTGGTGTTGGTGGGTAACAGTCAGTCGCACAAGAGGTTGTACTCCTCACGCGTTTATTTGTGCTCACGGGGTCACCTCACTGTTGGAGGTGCTCACACACAGTTGGCTGCAGTGTGGCCAGAAATGGCTTGTTTAGCTAGGAGTCACAGAGATCAGAGCTGCCAGTGTCGTGCTGGGCATGTGTGCCAACTCTGAGAGCTGAATTTGTGACTGTGTGCTTGTAAGGAAGTTATGGGCCACTTTGCTGTTTCTCCTATTTCGTTTGTTATTTTAATGTGAAAAATAAAAAAGATAATCCCTAATTCTGACAAGTGAAATGAAGTTGCTAATATATATGATATATTAGGAATATATCATATATATTAGCAATATATCAGATAGCAATATATCAGTTCTTTTGGTTATACTTTTAGTATTCTGTTTCAAGGCCCATAAATTGTTTTTACCCTCTGAAGCAATGGTCCGCCTATGACTTTATATAAAATTATGGGGGGTTCTCAAGCAGTAAAGTACTGGTCTTGCATGTGTGAAGGCCTAGAAGAACCCAGACCTATGACCACTGTTGGACGTGGCCCTCACAGCAATTTGAAAAATGATACAAGCGCACGATGCATCATCATTATTATTATTACCATTTGTATTTGGGCTATACCTGGCTTTGCTCAGGGCTTACTCAAGCTCTGTGCTCAGGGATCAATCACTCCTAGAGATGCTCAGGGGACCATATGTGGTGTCAGCGATGCCAACCTCAGGTTTGCTGCTTGCCAGGAAAGCACCTGAGCACTGCTGGGTATGGCCCAGCCCCGACCCCCCAAATAACAACAACAAAAAAGAGAATTTCTGCTTCTAGTTATATATTCTGCTCATGTTTGTTTCCATAAGGAGTATGCATTGCTTTTATAATTAGTAACAAAAGATATGCTTTAAAAAATGGTCAGTCTAGTAACATTCCAAGTGGATTTTTTTCTTATGTCAGTTTTTGATAATGATGATAAATTGCTTTTTATTTTTTATTTTTTTTGTTTTGGGGCCATACCTGAGTGTGCCTTACTCTCAGTTCTGGGCTCAGGGTTCACTCATGGTGGGCTGGGAGACCAACTGGGTGTCATGGACCAGACAATATTGTAACAAACTGTGTGATTTGGCTATCACCTTCCTTCAACTCCACTGAATCCTTCTCAAAGACAGAGCTGGTTTTTACCTCTAGAGTCTGTCCATGCTCAGCTCACTAAAAGTTGAACAAATTAATAAAGCATTGTTTTTTTTAGAAATCTGAAAAATACTAAACAAGAAAGCGAGGTGGGCCAGAGTGATAGTGCAGGGGACAGGGCATTTGCCTTGCACATGGCCAACCAAGGTTCAATCCGCGGCATCCCATAAGGTCCTGGAAGTTCTCCAGGAGTGATTCCTGAGCATAGAGCCAGAAGGAACCTCTGAGCATCACCAGGTGTGACAAAAAAAAAAAATCTAAAAAGAAATAATAAAAATAGCAATAATGTGAGGGGCCTGAGGAATAGTGCAAGGATTAGGCACTTCCTTTGCATGTGGCTGATCCCAGTTCAATCCCTGGAACTTCATGGTCCCTCAAGCATGGTCAAGCGTGAACCTTGGGCCTGGAGTGATAGTACAACGGGTAGGGTGTTTGCCTTGCATGCAGCTTACCTGGGTTTGATCCCAGGCTTCCCATATGGTCCCCTGAGCACCACCATGAGTAATTCCTGAGCACAGAACCAGGACTAAGCCCTGAGCATTGCTGGGTCTGATACAAAAAAGCAAAAAAGGGAGTGAACCTCAAGTACTACTGTGTAACCCAAATTCACCTCCCGATAAAATAAATAAAAGGGTGAAAACCAGAGCCATTTATATTCTCCCAACAATCCCAACTACTCTTTCATGTCTTGTCTTTTAGTTTAGTTTTTTTTTTTTGTTAACTGCATGGATATGTGTCATTTATCATGCATTTATCATTCAGGCACACAAAGTTTCACAACGAGGATGGTACTAATTATAGAATATTGCATCCTCCCTGCTTTTTCTTTACTCTGATGCTATTATAATCAGACACAGTCTTGCTGGCAGGGATGGAAGTGATTCCAGTAGTGATGCGCTAGGATGAGATATTGGCTGTCCAAAGTATGAAATGCAGCTGCTGCAGAAGATTCACAGGGTGGTCTCTGGCGGTCAAGGGTTGGCATGTTAGTTTTGGCAGTTATGGATTTTAGTGTGAACTAGGAAAATGATATGACTAGCTTACTAAACCCAGGATTTGGCGAATGCTACTGCTTACAAGGGCCACAGTAAAGTTCTTAAAGCTTAAGAAAAATCATCAATGGGGCTGGAGAGATAGCACAGCGGGTAGGGCGTTTGCCTTTCACGTGGCCAACCCAGGTTCGATTCCCAGCATCCCATATGGTCCCCTGAGCACCGCCAGGAGTAACCCCTGTGCATCACCAGGTATGACCCAAAAAGCAAAAAAGAAAGAAAAATCATCATTGACTGGAGCGATCGTACAGCAGGTAGGGTATGGGTACCTGAGCCCTGCTAGAAGTGATCTCTGAGCTGAGAGCTGTGAGTAAACCCTGAGCACTGCAGGGTGTGGCCAAAAAAAAAACCCAAAACAGAGAGAGAGAGAGAGAGAGAGAGAGAGAGAGAGAGAGAGATTTAAAATCAACAAATTAAAGAAGAGCTGTTATGTATATGCAATTCCAGTTGGAGCAGTTTTGAGTTTTTTTTAATTGCTTTTGGGGCTGCACCCAGAAGCACTTGGAGGATGCTCCTGGCAGTGTTCCAGGGAAGATATGGTGCTGGGAATCAAACTGGGTCTCGTGCAAGTAAGCATGCACCCAGTTCTGTCTTATCTGGAGCAGTTTTGTAAGAAAGAAAACACAAACCAAGTTGGGGAAACACTTGGTGATTCCTGCTTGTTCCAAGAAGCCCTGGTGCTGGATCCCTGAGTATAAGCAAGACAGAAGAAATGGCTCAGCTTCTCCCAGAACACGGGACAAGGGGATCCATTAGCATTTGCTGAGTTGGAATTCAGGAGCAGTCTGCGTAGACTTGCAGTGGCAGATGTGCAGCTCTTGGCTTCTGTGCTATGCAGTCAGCACTTGGCTGCGATCATCTAGACTGCTGACGGACGGATCCAGTCTTCCTCATTAATGGAGGAACTCATGGTGTTTAAGACTGCTAAAGCAGGCAGAAAGCACATCTATTTTTTAAAATTTAACTTTTTTTTTATAAAGTAGTTCACATGTTTGATTACATTTAATATTGAACACCAACCCCACTCCCATTACACCTTCCCACCATCAGATTTTGGATGTTTCCAAGCAGGACCCCAACCCTTGCCCCAAAGCAGAACCAAAATAATTTATTTTGTGTTGTTTATTATGAATAAGTTGCTGAAAGTGCTTTAAAAAAACTTTCCTTAGAGGAGAGTGTGTGAAGATTGTTGTAATTCATCCAGGGGCCATTTAACCCTTATATATGAGATGACTAATATGTTGTTAAGGTTGAGCATTGTGTGCTTATATATATATGTGTGTATATATATATTTGTAAAAATATATTTCCCTCTAAGATTGGTTGCCTTCTACTTCAAACCCCATCAAATGTGGTATGCTACTCTTGGAGTATGAGTGGTGTTCTGCGGATTAACTTGTGGGTGAGGCTTGACCCAAGCATGTGGAAAACGGCTGTGAGCATGGTGACAGTTGAGTTCTGGAGGTTTTTGGCAGCCAGGGCTGGGTCCTTGGGGTGGGGAGGGGCCTCACCCGCCCCCCTCTGGATGCCTCTAATGTGGCAGCCTGGTGCGGGGTCCAACGGCATGGTTATGGCATGTCATTTTATGCTCTCTCCCCCAAAAGCACATCTATTATCTGGTTCAAATTCTCCATGTGTTAGGACCCGAAAGCAGGATATGACCAAGAGATCTGTCCCGTAAATGGCAGGCAGATAACGTGGCGCCAGTGCCACTAGAAAATCTGCAGGGTGGAGCAGATGGGGAAGTCACAGGGAAGGGAAACCCTCAAGGGCCCAGGGGAAGCCTGAAGTGGCAGGTGCAGTTTGTCCTTTGGGGCTAAACTGCCCACGGCAGTAAGGGGAGGGGCTTCTGGGCATCCTGGGATGAGGTTTGTAGTCCAAAATGATGGGTGGAAACTTCCAGTTCAACTGAGGCAGGGGGTTGGAATGGAAACACCTGCATGAAGTTGAGGCCTTTACAGAATACCTCTAAAGGAAAAAGCAGCCTAGGAATCAAGTCCATTCACATCAGGATGGGGGATAGAGAATCTTGTCTTTCTCTTTTGGGGGTGCTGTGGGCCAGCAGTGCTCAGGAACCATTCCTGGGGGTGTTCAGGCAACCATGTGGTACCCCATAAATCAAACCTGAGTCTCCCACTTGCAAAGCATGAACACCAGGCACTTGAACCATCTCCCTGGCTCCCAAGAAATGTTTATGAGAATTAAATGAGTGTGGGACTGGAGAGGTAGCACAGTGGGGGAGGGTGCTCGCCTTGCATGCAGCTGACCAGGGTTCAATCTCCGGCATCCCATTATGATCGTCCAAGCCCCGCCAGGTGTGATCCCTGAACACAGAGCCAGGAGTAAGTACAGAGCATTGCCGGGTGTGGCCCACAAACTAAAAATAGAAAGTTCTTGGCACATGGAAAATACTAAGTCAGCATTAGAAATCACTGCTGTGAATTTATTAAGCTTGGAATTTGTAGTCAAAAAACTTGGTTACTGAGACTGTCCCCGGATGTTCTGGCTCCCAAGAGGCTTGTTGAATTTTGTGGTATATTCAACCACAAAATTCAATGGCAGGAACAGATAACGTCTGTTATCTCTCCCCACAACCCCTGGGTGGGGGGCCAGCCAATTCTGACCTTCCCACTTGGCGTCATTGAATTGGAAAAAAGCATCCATAAATGTGTCTCAGGAAGGGGCTGGTCTGAGCAGACTCGCATGCCATGAACACCCAAGGATTGCTGCTCGCACCTGTTCTGACTCTGGGTGTTTTATTAAGTTGATTCCTGCGTCCTGGTCAGTAAAGTCTAGCCAGAGGAATGTGCTTACTGGTTAATAACTTACCTTCTTGGGTGCGGGCACAGGCCCTTCCCTGGTATGATCTCAGATCATTCGTCCAGTTCTTCCTCCCTCCATGCCCCCCAGGAGCACTGCAGGGCTAGGCCACTAAGACCAGTCCAACCAGACTCTTCTCACATTCCATGTAAGTGGAGCAAAGCAATACATGATCTTCAGTGATTGACCTCTTCCTATGATGTTTTCAGGGTTCACTGTGTTATAGTTGTGTCAGCGTTTACTCCTGACTCTGCACTCAGGGATCACTCCTGGCACTCCTTGGAGTGCAAGAAATAGAACCCAGATTGACCGCATGTAAGGCAAGTGCCCTACCCACTGTACTATTAATCTGGCCCCCCACCCCACTGTTTTTTCTGGTGTCAGAAATTGAACCCAGGGCCTCACCTCTGTAAGACAAGTGCTATATCTATGGGCCACCTCCTCAGGCCCTTCACTCCTTTCTTAGTAATAAAAGTTTATTTCACATATATGTGACACTTGGTCCACTGTTTCCACTTTGAGGCAATTATGAGTAGTGTTATGATGAACATCCTTATACAGTAAGTCCTCAATTAATAACATTGATAGGTTCTTAGAAAAGATTACGTTTTTAAAGGACCTAAAATTGATTTTTTTCCTATAGGCTAATTGATATTAACAAAAATTAAATACCTTGGGCCGGAGCGATACTACAGCAGGTAGGGTGTTTGCCTTGTACATGGCTGACCCGGGTTCAATCCCTAGCATCCCACGTGGTCCTCTGAGCACCACCAGGAGTAATTCCTGAGAGCAGAGCCAGGAGTAACCCCTGAGCATCGCCAGGTGTCACCAAAACAAACAAACATTAAGTTCCTAATTCACTAAAAAATCACCAGACCTCTAAATAAAGGCTCAAGGCAGGGGAGATGGTTCAGAGGACCAGCATGAGCTTCACATGCAGGAGGTTCTGTCAATCCCTGGCACCTTGCGGTCCCTAAGCACCTGACTGCCTGGTGTGATCCCCAAAATAAAAAGTAAAGATCACAAGCACTTCTTTTTTTGTTTGTTTTGGTTTTAGTGCTGCACCCAGTGGTGCTCAGGGCCAGCTCTTGCTCAGGAGTCACTCCCGGCGGGCTTGGGGACCATATAGGGTTCCAGGAACTGAACCAGGGCCAGCCCTTCCTGCTGCATTATCATTCCAGCTCCAAGACCAGAAACACATCTAATATCAAACAATGATTCACTTTATTCACTTGTAGCCTACTTATTGTAGTTCCAGGCTGGGGATGGCCAGAGCCTACCCCAGAAGCTTAGAGCCCGAGGTGGGAACCAGCCCAGACAGGAAGCCCTCCGAGCCTAGTGCTCACACATCTCACAGACGAGGGCCGCTTTGGGTGGAAACCAGACACCCAAAGAAGAACTCTAGGATGAGGGGAGAACATGCCACCAGCACTCAGACCCACCAGGAATTGATTTTCTTTTTTTTAAATAGAGGTCATTCCTGGTGCTCAGGGGATCATGTAGTTCTGGGAATAGAACCCAGGGCCTTGCACATGCTCTTAAGCCATCTCCCTAACCTAAGAGTTTGTATTGTTTTGTTTGGGGGCCCTACCCTGGAGTGCTCAGGGATCACGCCTGGCAGGGCTTAGTGGACCAGATGCAGTGCCTGGAATCAAACTCCAGTCAGCCACATGCAAGACAAGAACCTTATGGTCCTCACTAGTGTGTGTGTGTGTGTGTGTGTGTGTGTGTGTGTGTTTGTCTTGCAGCCTGCTGTGCTCAGAGTTTACTCCTGGCCCTGTGCTCAGGGTCACTTCTGGCTGTGTACAAGGCACACACCCTACCCCCCTGCATTATTGCTTCATTCCCCCCATGATTTTATTTTTTAATAGCAAAGTGTTGCCAACTGAAATGACACTTAAGGATCTGCTATGCAATATCTGGACTCAGGATCTCACTTCTCTAAATGAAGTTTCTGGTCACAGTTCTCTGTTTAATCTTTGGAGGAAGGAGAAGCCCCCCTGTTTCCAAGTGGCCGCCCCAGTTCACCTTGACCTTCCTTCCAGCACTGTCCGGGTGCCATCATGCTAGTATCTCTGTTCCCTTGGCCAGACATCTTGGTCACAGCCATTCTAACTGATGCTGTAAGTGACATCACTGTAGCTTTGACTTGTATTTCCTATTACTCACATACGTCACCTAGGCTTTTTGGTTGCCAGATTACAAGAAATGAAAGAGTGAAATTGATTTTAATGGCTCAAAGGTTAAGTACCTGCCTGAACCCCTAGCACTGTACACACGTATTTGTATATGTATACATGTATATATACAGATAGATTCTTCTTTTTTCTTGAAGATAATTCTTTTTATTTTATTTTATTTTATTTGCTTTTCATGTCACACCCAGAGAGGCTCAGGGGTTACTTCTGGCTCTGCACTTAGGGATTGCTTCTGGCAGTGCTCAGGGGACCATATGGTATACCGGGGATTGAACACAAGTGGGTCTCGTGCAAGGCAAATGCCCTCCCCACTGTACTAGGGCTCCAGCCCCTTAAAGATAATTCTTGGGCCTGGGAGATAACTACAGAAAGGGAAAAAATACTTCAACATGTTTTGCCTGAAGGGTCTCTGAATACTGCCCAGAACAGTAGCATGTGAGCATCCCAAGTGTAGCCCCTAAACCAAAAATATATTTATATGTGTTTCTTGTTCATTTGTTTTGTTTTGTTTTGGGGACACATTCAGCTGTGCCAAGGCCGTCTCCAGCTATACTCAGGGATCACTCCTGGTGGGCCGGGACACCAAGGTTATTGTCTGGGATAAGCTTGGGTTGGCTGTATGTAAGGCTAGTGACCTTCGTCCTTTCAACAAATTAGCATTATATTTGTTGAATGAGATATTCTACTGTCTCTTTGTTTGTTTCGTTTGGGACTACACTTGGCAACGCTCAAGGGTTACTCCTGGCTCTGCACTCAGGAATCACTCCTGGCCGTGCTCAGGGGACCATCTGGGATGTTGGAGATAGAATCTGGGTCAGCCACGTGCAAGGCAAGTGCCCTGCCTGCTGTACTATCTCTCCAGCCCCTCTTTTTTTTTTAAAGTCTTGAAATCTGGCATGTCCAGATTTGGCACTCAGACCCATCTCTGATTGAATACTGTCCACGCTCAGCAGCCCATTTGGTTTCTGACCACACGTACGAGGGGCCCAGGTCTAGGAGAAGAGAGCTGTGGCATGACTGGGCAGAGAGAAGTCTGGGAAAGGCCTGAGCGGGGAGGGGAATAGCACTCATTTAGGGCTTGAAAATAGTGGCAAGAATAGGAAGGGGCCAGCGGGGAGCTGACACAGGAACCCTGGTATCTGTGCCTTTCCTTCAGCGATGATGAGATTTGCCAGAAGTTCCTCATGGAGAACAGCTGGAATGTCTTCAGGAAGGACCTGATCCGTCTGCTGGTGTCCTCTCCTAAGTGTCGGCCATTCACCCCGAAGGCCCCTAAGAAGAAAGGGGCCTTCAACCCCAGGTCTGTGTTCCTGGATTTGGGTAGCATGAACAAGACAGACCATCGGTACCCCATTTTTGTGGCACCCCAGAAATTGCTCCCCCCTTTGAGAATTGTCCAAGCCATCACAGGACCCCGGTATAAGATCCAAGACGTGCTGCCTCAGTATAAGAGTGCGGGCGTCCTTATTTAGATGGAATAAAGGATGTTGTGTTGATGACTCTGTCTCCTGACTCGCCACCGTGGGGGGCCGGAAGCTGAGCCCTAGGCTGGTGGAGCTTAGGAGCAGCCCCTGGGTCTCTCCCTCCCTTGGCACTTGTGGACTGAATGAATGGGCAGGTTCACTGCTGGGAATGGTCTGGGCTGTCCGATCTGATGTGGGAGGAGGCAGGTGGGGCTCAGACCCAGGTGGGCAAGACACACTTGCAAACTCCAGTGTCTTCTGAGGTCAGTGGGTCATCAGAGGGACAGTAGCATGGGGCTGGCAGGATCTCGGGGAGACACTGGGATGGCAGGGACAGGGCCAAGCTCCCAGCCCTGTAGAACAGCTGTTCCTTCACCCCAGTCAGCTGGTTCCATGCCAAGAAACATTGCAGATGCCAAACAGGCTTCTGCAAGAGAACCAAGAAATCCAGTATTTTAGATGATTCCTACTGGTTTTCACATGTGAACAACTAATTCCAATTGTTTTTGAAATGTGGTGTGAAGCAAACAAAACACATCCGTGGGCTGTGTTGGGCCTACAGGCTGCGAGCCTGCCAGTGCTCGTCAGGCACCTCTGTCAGACTCAGAGGGCGGCGTCAGGGACCACAGTGAGGCGCGGCTTCAAGAAGTGCAAGGAACCAGGGAGGCAGATGGACAGCCTGACAGGGGAGGCATCCTGGGCCAAGGATGACTCACAGTCTGAGGGAGGAGCGATGGGTATGGCTTAAATTTAGTGTTTATGTGTGTGTGTGTGTGTGTGGGGTGCGCTCCTGAGTTTTGGGTACCTTGTCTGTCATGCTGTGCCCAGACTCCTGTTCCTGGCTCCAGTCAGCCTCAGATTCTGCACTGAATCATCTTTTGTCTCTGGGAAACCTTGTGGCTTCTCTCCGACAGACAAGAGGCGAGTGATTGATCCCTCAATGGGCTGGGCACACACTGCCTGTAGGAGCCCTGGGTGCCATCCCTCCCACCACCAGGAGTGACCCCTATACACTATCCTTAGGGGCCTAGGAGTCCCCCTGACAGTCACCTGGTCTGGGGTTACAAGAGAGATGGGACCCAGCCACAGATTCCCCCCATCACCCTATACACACGCATTCACCCTGCATAGACTGGGCAGGGAGCAAAGGTGGAGAAACCCAAGCACAGAACTGGGTATTGGGGGGCTCTGGAGAAACTGGCTCGCTCTTCTCTCTTTCTCTCTCTCTCTCTCTCTCTCTCTCTCTCTCTCTCTCTCCTCTCAAGATAGTTTTGTTTGTTTGCTTGTTTTTTGTTTTTGTGGTGGATGAAGGTGGAGGAGGGTCACACCTAGCTGTACTCCTGAGGGTTACTCCTGACTGCAGCCAGGAATTACGTCTGGTAGGGCTCTGGGGACCATATGGGATGCCAAGGATGGAACCTAGGTTAGCACAGGTTCCTATCCGCTATACTATCACTCCAGCTAGTTTTTGTTTGTTTTATATTTTTTAAATTTTATTATTATTCTGGAGCGATAGCACAGCGGTAGGGCGTTCGCCTTACAAGCGGCCAACATGGCCGACCCGAGTTCGATTCCTCTGCCCCTCTCGGAGAGCCCGGCAAGCTACCGAGAGTACTCGATATGTCAGACACAGTAACAACAAAGTCTCCAATGGAGACGTTACTGGGCCCGCTTGAGCAAATCGATGATCAACGGGAGGGCCTTTACCTTTACCTTTTACCTTTATTTTCTTTTTTTTCTTATTTATTTATTTATTTATTTTTTTGCTTTTTGGGCCACACCCAGCGATGCTCATGGGTTACTCCTGGTTCTGCTCTCAGGAATTACTCCTGGTAGTGCTTGGGGGACCATATGGGATGCCGGGGATCGAACTTGGGTTGGCAGTGAGCAAGGCAAATGCCCTCCCTGCTGTACTATCTCTCCAGCCCCAAGATAGTTTTTATTGAAAGCAATTTACTGAGAAAGATGTGAGGGGAGAGAGGGATATGTGTTCAAGAGAGAAGAGGGGCTGAAAGAGCAAGCCCCGCTGTTCCTATCTCACGGGTCCCATTGAGTCCTTCCCCTGCACCTCAATTTCTTGTGGCAACAGAGTGAGCTGGACACGTCCAATGGTTTCCTCCAGCAGGAATCAGGTAGAGCTTGAGAAGTATATTCGGCATGCCAATGTGTGTTTACTTGTTTTCAGCTGGGGGCCGCACCCCACGGTGTTCAGGGATACTCCTGACCGAGTGCTCAGAGATGGTCTCTGGTAGTTGTGTGAGGACCATGTGGTGCCAGGGATCAAACTCAGGCCTCCCTCATGCTAAGCCTGACTCCAGAACAATGCAACGTGAAGCAAAAACATTTTTAAATGAAGCGAAGCAAAGCATGTACCCTGCTCTCTGAGCGCTCTCCCCAGCCCAGAACTGTAGTTGTTTTGTTGTTATTGAATCTAATTTTATTTTGTTATTTTTTATTGGAGGGGGCGGAGGTTGAGCCATACCTGGTGGTGCTCAAGGATCACTTCTGGCGGTTTGAACAGGGCGCCATATGTGATGCTAAGGATTGGACTGGATTCAGCAGTGTGTGTGACAAGGGTTAATTCCTGCTCTATCTCTCGGGCCGCCAATCTTTGAATTTTAAAGGAAACTGTTTCCATGTTCCATAAGGAGAAGTGGCCGCACCTTCTCTCCAGTGCAGGTTATGGCCAGGAAAGGTTTGAGGACAGCACCTTAACCAGCCCAGAGGGCCTGAGTCCGCATGCTGAGATCCCGGGAGGGTCAGCTGTGACCTTCTGGGCATGTGCTGGGTTCATTTTGTTTAAATTCTAAAACCTGAATTTGTGCTTCTGGCTCAGGACCTGTGTGTGCTGAGGGTGTGGCTTCGGCCCAGGCACCCATGTGTTCCTTTACTCAAAGTGGATTTATGAAGCCTGGACTCCGCAGCATGTCCCCACGTGACTCGGAGGCTTTTCTCCTGCCGTCTCTTCTCAATTCTCAACTTGTGGCCACAAGTCGGCCAGCTCTGGAAGGGCCAGTGACAAATGTGATGGATGTTTTGGCTTGTGTGGGATGTAGGGTCTTTGTTGGGACAACTCAGCTGTGTGTAGGAAACGATGGCTGACAGGTGTGGCTCTGTGCTAGTGAAACTGACTTTGCAACAGGTGTTGGGCCGACGGGCTGGTGGACAGAGCGTGCAGGCCACTGCCCTCAGCCCGAGGGAGCCTAGGAAGCTTCCCTAGACGTGAACTGCCCTGGGAAAGGACGGTCACTTGTGAAAGAGTATTTCCTCTATGGGTGGCATCTTGCTGGGCATTGTATCCTGGGGCTGGATGACCTTAAAATCCCATTATCCCATTCCAGCTCTACCGCTGAGGTGGTTGTTGAGTATTAAAAGAGATGGTGTGGGGACCGGAGTGATAGTACAGCAGGTAGGGTGCTTGCCTTGCAGATGGTGACCCAAGTTTGATGCTGGCACCTTGTATTGTCCCCCAGCCCCCACCCAGAGTGATCCTTTAGGCAGGGCCAGGAGTGTACATAGCCAGGCATGGCCAAATCCCGCCCCCCCAAAATAAACTAAGTGATTACTGATTTGTTTTGTTTCTGAACCACATCCAGCGATGCTCAGGGGTTACTCCTGGTTCTGCACTCAGGAATTACTCCTGGTGCTGCTCAGGGGACCATATGCGATGCTGGAGACCATACCCAGGTCAGTCACTAGCAAGGCAAGTGCCCTGCCCACTGTACTATCGCTCAAGATGGTTGGAGCCACACCTGGCAGTACACTGGAGCTACTCTTGGCTTTTTGCTGAGGGTCACTTTTCCATGGGACCATGCTTTACTCTGACTCCAGCCCCTGATTTTTAAAAATTATCCATGAGCTCCTTGATAGCCAGGGTGAGAAGGAAAAATGCTTTTTCACTGAAAATGGACAAGAGGATGGAGAAAATATGAATGTTTGTATTGAGCATCAATCAGGATAATTCTAAAACCTGAATTTGTGCTCCCGGTAGCCACAGCAAAAGAGAAATACTGCCTCTCGTGGTCTGAAAGGAGAGGGGTCTGTTCTGTTCTGTTCTGTTCTGCTCTGTTCCGGGGAGATTTTCTTCCCCACCCAGGTTGGAAAGCTGTGTCCTCGCGCTCTGATTCGACTACTGCTCCCTCTTGGAGGGTCTGTTTCTAGCCTACCTGAGACCTCGGGATCTCAGGCCCTTTCAGGCTCCACACACATGTCAAGACTGGGGGCTGCAGGGAGGGTGTCCCCCAAGTGTGTCCCTTATTAATGACTCACCACATAAAGAGGCAGTGGATTCATGGCTTCCAGCCCTCATCACAGTGATCATATATGACCCTGACAGTTAGACCCTGACAGTTTGAAACCAAGACCATGCTTTCCTCTGAGGAGAGCACGTTTTATCTTGAAACACACTGTCAGCAAGTCTCTCCTCCTCTACAAACTCACAGTGCCCTTTAAACGCCCCTTCTCTTGTACTACGGAAGTGGCGGTGAAGACCCGCTCTCGGCCTTCCTAGAAGCCACCTCCCATGAAGCCCCAGCTGTCCCTGTCCTGATTCTGCTGCCAACCCAGAGTAGGAGGATTGGGGCTGCGAGATGGAGGTTTGGATTCGGGAAGCACTGCCCCCGACCAGCTGTGGGACATTGGACAGATGACTTCCTGTTGCCTAGGTTTCCATGTCTGAAATATGGAAATAATAAAATCAGCTGATGATCATGAAGATCCACTTACATATTCTGGGTAAAACATCAGAGTTGGAGTTTGACTTGCAGAAAGCAGCCACTGCTTAACTCCGGCACCATGTCCGAGGGAAGACCAGAGGCCCCGGAGACATAGTAGGTACGTGAGACCACAGCACCGGAGGGCCAGCCCATCCCCAAAGACGAAGCTGAAGAGTCTTGTGTAGGGGCATTTCTCATTTCCACAGAACAGAGCCGTTGGGTATTTGCACATAAGACACTCTCCAGTTAGTCCTTTTGGGCTGGCACCTTGCTCGGTTCTTGTGTCAACCTTGG